TAATCTAGAAGCTGGGGGGATGGCTTTAATAGAATAATAAATCTGTTGAAAGATAAGACCCAAGAACAGTTCTCCAATTTTTTTTTAAATTTTTATCATTGTTCTTTTTTTTTTTAATTTGACATAAATAAAATTCTGAAAATCTAGTCCCCCCCCCCCTCCTGCATAGGTGCATTTCTTTTGTACAAATGGCACACATAGTCATTTTGTAGCCATAAATAAAGTGATCTACACTTTCATCTGAGCTCCTTTACTAGAGTTGTTTATAATCCCAAGGAAGCAACATGAACAGCTTCATTAAAAAGTAGGAATTTAAGGCAAAGTTTTCTCAGTTTTCAAATGTTGGTAGAACCAGAAAGCAGTAAAATTATAAATGGGACTATTTTGACAGAGTGACAACATTTTTTAACGTAAGAGAATACTGATGATTATTGTTTTGGATAAAAGCTCCATCTGACTTTACAACTTATTTAACAGAACCCACTATTAAAGTGTTAATATCCTTCTTTACATTGCCAGTAACCACTAGCAGATTCTTTTACTTATACTGAAGTGGAATACCATTTCATCCAAAACATCCTCCATTTACATTAACAAAGCTGTCACTTCCTTTTAAATTCTTTTCTAGTTGATGACCCGTAACATACCAGTAGCAATGAAATACAAAATTATCACTGTATTTTTATTTTAAATGTTACTGCAGACATTTGAAATTATTTATTTCATATTTTATTCATCTTCACAGCCTCTTGCCCCTTTCTTTGTTTCTAACCCAGTAACCCTTTGGACAAATGACCATTCACTATTCCTGTCCATGATAGCATGCTGATACAAACAGCTATTGTACAAGCTTAGCCCAGCCACAAGTGCATCAAAAGAACTCTATACTGGAGCAGCCCAAACTCTAGTCAATTTAGGTTGCTTTATTAATAAGAGCCACTGAAATATCAAAACAGGGGTTACTTTAAGGTTCTCTTTAAATAGCGTAGCTCTTGCGCGCGAAGTGCGCGAGCGCAGCACCATGGGTAAGAAAATGAAGTTATCTACCCATCCGAGAAAATTTTGTAATCACGTGACCGTACACCAACCGACCTACCGGCCGCCCGAGCGACCGTCCGTCCGCACCACAGGCATACCAATGTAAAATAACTCGATCAACAAGTATGGCAACCCAAATACAAATCGAGGTTATTTCGGCGGGAAATCGCATAGCCACCGGCGTCTTGTAAATTCGAGACAACTAAAGAGTCAATGAAGACGAAAACGGAAGGCGGAAATTGTTTCTGTATCCGTGTTGTCTAAAGTATTTAGCTTAGATTAATTGTCATGTCGACAAATTTGGAATGTAGAGCAGGAGAAAGACAGAGAAAAAGAGAAAGTAGGCGGCAGGCCAGCGAAGCTCAACGAGAAAAAGGGCGACGGAGATCAAGAGCGAGAGATAAAAGTTGATGAAAGGAGACATTTTTTTGTCGGAACTGACAACATGAAAATTTTCTAGCGGCGGTGACAAAATGAGAAATGCTAGCGGCTACCAATGCAAGGTGAAAATGAGCGTCAGTGAAAAAAAAGTGAACGAGAACTCGTACGACATTTCCTCCATAAAACGTGTATCTAATATCAGAAGTTTCTGGAAGTTGTACGTTGTAGTCGTACAAAACAACGGCAAAGAATTGTACAAAAAAGTGTGCTGCACGTGCAAAGTTGCTTTTTTTGCTAATTAGACCTATTGTTGTTCTTCACCGTTCACCGGCGTTGCATTCGTCGCTTAGCATTACACGATTTTATATTTTGTATGAACAAACTATAAATATTATCGAGAGCTTCGCTTTTAGCCCTGGCTAAATCTATATATTATCTTTTACATAAGAGCCTTTTTCTTTTGATACTCATTTACAATTTCTTATTAATAAAATTAATGTTTGTTTGTTTTTTGCTTTCAGTCATCCCTCATGGCAGCCTCTTCTGATCAAGAGTTGGAATTTGGAAAACAGAAATCAAGTAGCGACACAGTACGTTAAGCCTCTCAAAAGCTGTCAATTATTCTTCTTTTTACCATATATTTAGTAGCTACACAAGATCTAGAAAGAAATGTTTACTTAATAGTTTTTTCCCTTTAAGGTGTTTCGATACAGTTTTTCAGAGGCCATACCGATAGTTTACAATCGCTTTAAAAATTATTTTATCCTTGTTTGATCGCTATAAAGTTTTCACCAATGATTGACTATAGATTGAAATTTGTCAAAATGTAGGTTTTAGTAAAATCGATATTACTATGACAATAATAAACAAAAAACTTTAAAATTGATAAACTGAAAGTTTGGTGTTTAGCAAATAACCTCCGTAAGAAGTAAAAAATTGTGTGTTTGAATTCGATTAAAACGAAATTATGTTTCAAACCTCAAATTTTCAATAGCAGTGGTAGATTATTTAATAAAAACGTTATAAATGACTCAAATCATTCTTAAGTAGTGCCAGAATGCTGTTTAATATTATAATTCGAAGCTAGGAAATTTTGGTGTATTTTCGTTCTTGCGATCTTAAAAACTAACCCGTTTTCTCACCACCTGTCTAAGTGCGACTTCATTCAAAATTTGGACTTCTGGCGCTTTTTTGCATATCTCAGAAACGACTCGAAATCTCTTCACATAATCTTCATAATGTATATAATAATGTCTGAAACTTTCATTAAGATTGATTTACCGCAACACCTTGAAATTTTAAGACAAACCTATCCTACTAACCGGTCAAAAGTCCGCGCTACAACGTTCACTGTTTTGACGTTATGCTAATTTTTCCAAATAAATGCGAACAATGCATATGTCCATGACTAGTGCATTTCAGTGTGAGTTTTATCAATGCTTTAAATTCAAAAGATGCGATAAATTCAAACTAAAATGTACTAGTCATGGAGGTATGTAAAGGGCGCATTATTTTGGAAAAATTAGCATAACGCCAAAACAGTGAATGTTGTAACGCAGATTTTCTTGAAACACTGATCTTACCTAGTATGATTCAATTCAATTCAATTCTTTATTTTACACTATTTAAGATATTTACATAAGTGTATATAGGTAGGAAAATAAAGGAAAATAAAGTAGCTGACAAATAATAATTAACTAAAAGACATTAAGTTCATTTGTGTACAGTGTCCATAGTAGCAAGAGCTTTCTTGTTGGACACCGTCATGTTGAAATAATTGGCAGCAGTAAAGAGAGAAATAAAATCTTAGATAATATCAGTGATAGAACATATAAGCAAGGTCAGATTTGGTTGGTTAGAAGACAGGACTTCCATTCTTTCTTAAACTTATGATATGGGAGACACTGGAGACCAGGCGGTACGATATTTGGAGCGGAGAATTTAAAGGACGTCTTACCTAAGTTGAGCTAAGTTGGTGGATACTCTTGGCCTAAAATAGTTCAGATTACTGACAAATCTTGTGTTATGATTGTGTAATATGAGGTTTGATATAAGCTTACAGAACTTTAAAAAGCCTTTAGTCGATACTTTCTCACCGCAAATGGAAAGAAAAAACGTTTCGAAGAATATTTAGTTATAATTTTGGCTGTAGAAAGAAAGCTTTGAGCGATTTTCCTGTCGCGAATTCATCTTTGAAAAGATCAAACACCGGGAAGCTGGCGACTTAAAACATAAACTTAAGCTTTAAGCTTAAAGGCTCAGGATTCTTAGACCCTGTTTACATGGAGTGGGGGACCCCGGTCTAGTGGGGTAGGTTTCTTTTGTTTTGTGTCCCCCAGAGCGTGAAAACAAAAGAAACCAACCCCACTAGACCGGGGTCCCCCAGTCCATGTAAACAGGCCCTTAGAAACACTTTAATAGTATACTCGTTTTCGTGAATGGAAATTGTTGTCAATGTCTCTGTAAATGTTCTACCGAATTATATTTCTTTTATTGATTGTTAGTAGTCTCTTGCAATTTTCATCGCTTTGCCGTTTGTTTTCAATCGTTCATAAACATCGCTTGGAGGAGTACTGTACTCAAAATGCCCCGCGTATCAAACGCTTTTTAAGGTTACACATCGTTATGGAACCATTTAATAGAAAATAAACACAATAAAGTGTTTATTATGATGAAGCGTAAATTTGGCGCTAATTTTGTCAAAAGTGAGAACCGGCTAGCCGTATAGGTGATTTTGGAATTTCTTTTAACGGTTTCGCTAAAAGCCCACGCGTACTTCGATGGTTCGAAAATTGAATGAGTGCAATTTGTCCTGAAAAATTTTAAGATACTGCATTTTGTCTAAGGTCTGTATGATAAAAACAGCGCCTCATAGTACTCTTTCACCTTAGATGTGCCATGTATAAAGAGCATAAAAGGTTGGTTTACACGCACCCAGATTTGTTGGCAAGATTTTGTAAAGAAAACTTGACGAACGCAAAAAATTCGTCCTGATTTGTGTTCCAGGCCTAATCTACTGTGATCAAGAACCATTTTTGCTCTTAAATGTGACGGAAGATGATTGCCAGTGCTATTTTCTGGGTGTACATAATATATGGCTATCAACTCGATGCAAGATTTGTTTCACTCTAAAATTATTTAGCCTTTCCCTCAAAAGTCACATGAATGTGCGCTTAAGTTAACTGATTTGTGGCTTACAAGTTTATTGTTTGATTTAAATTATAAATTAATTAATGGGAGCTTCGCTTTTAGCCAGGGCTAAATCTAGGGGCATATAGTGGCAAATAGGAGACTTAATTTGATCTGGCTGGTCATCATGTTCGACCGTCATCATGTTCGACCGTAGGTAGGTAGGATTTTGTTAGACATAGGATAGTTAATATACACGTAAGGTTCTACAAGATATTAGACGGTCATGATTCCTGGAGAGCCCAAGAAACTGAGAATCTTCAGTACTGGATAAACCATTCGACAGGTATAATACGGTGCAGTGAAACTTCTCAGCAAACAATAAATTATATGAAAAAGATAAAATTTGGGCTCGGTTAGCTTTTGATGGTGATTTAATCTGTCTTTTGCAGGCTGATAATTGTCCTCAGATCACCACCTCAAGCACTTCACGAGTAGGACCAGGTCAAAGTGACGGTTTTTCGGTCCGGTCAGTACTAAAAGTTACCCTTCTGGGAAGTGAGTGGAATTCCTCAGAAGGTGGTTTGTCAACATTAAACAGAGAACTTGCCATTTACCTTTCAAAACATCCCAAAGTGGAAGTAACATTGCTAGTTCCCGAGGGAGTTTGCAAAGATGAGGAAAAAAGAGAAGCTGGAAACAATGAAATTACCATTGTTGAAGCAGAGGAACAAACAGGGTATGATCCCCTTGACTGGTTAAACTTCCCGCCTAAAGACCTCAGCATCGATGTCATCATTGGGCATGGTAAGAAGCTTGGCCGGCAAGTACAAGGTATACGAAATTTTGCCCAATTTAAGAATTGTAAGTGGGTACAAGTGGTGCATACTGCCCCAGAAGACCTTGGCAAATTCAAAGACTACAGTAATCCCACTTCAAAAGGTGAAAGAAAGCATCGGGTTGAAGTTGACCTTTGTAAGCGTGCAGATCTTGTCATGCCTGTTGGACCCCGACTCACAGAGCTTTACTCTTCCTATTTACAGCGCTACAAAAAAGAAATGGACGTGTTTTCATTTACTCCAGGACTTTTTGAAAGGGAATTTGGGGATTTAGAACAAGATGTCAATAACAATGCAGATTTTAAAGTGTTAATTTTTGGACGTGGGGATGAGGAAGACTTTGATCTTAAAGGGTACAGCATTGCTGCAAAGGCATTTACTGACCCACGATTGAAAAGGAAACCTTATGAACTGATCTTTGTTGGTGCACCTGAGGAAAAACAAGAAGAGATTAGAAGAAGACTTCTGCAATGTGGTGTTGCTAAAGAACAGCTGACTGTCCGAAAATTTCTACAAAACAGGGATGAAATAAAAGATTTGCTGTGCGAAGCTGATCTTGCCATTATGCCGTCAAAGTCAGAGGGATTTGGTCTTGCTGCCCTCGAGGCCTTGTCTGCAGGTTTACCCATTCTTGTAGGCAGTAGGTCAGGATTTGCAAAAGCTTTAGAGAAAATTCTTCATGGTCATTCATACATCGTATATTCAGATGATCCTGCAGAATGGGCAAAAGCAATAGAAGCTGTTCGTACTTGGCATGGAATGAGGCTTCAAGAGATTAAATCATTGAGAGCATTGTATGGGGAGATGTACAGTTGGAAGGAGCAATGTGAAGCCCTTGTGGAAAGGATGTGGAAAATAGTTTATGGTAGGATATTTTTAGTACATGAAGTATAATAAGCCATGAAGTTCAATTATCGTGGTACAGCGAGGTTCTTAACGTGTCACAACAGACGTTCAGTTTTTCACTGCAGCTCGTTGAAAAGTGCTCTGTTAGCTAGGCGTACTAGCTCTCTATTATTTTGTGTTTTTGACTGTACAATTGTAAATCTCCCTACGTATAGGCAATTTACAAATGCTGCTTGAGATTGGATTATTCAAAAAAAAGAAAGAAAGAAAAAAAAACAGAAAAGAAAAGAAATCAAAATTGCATTAAGTCTGGGCTATCCCATCCTATTTCTACAACAAAAGATGTAATATGTTGCTCTAATGGCTATATTTATCATTTTCTTGATTATATAAAGTTGCTGCTTTTTGTCAATGCCAATGTCACTCATCACGTCTAAGAGCGTGGAGCATTCATCGGAGAAAACGGCAAGGGAACTCATGAGCAGATTTACAAATTTCACACATCTGTAATTTCTACTCATTTCTTTATCAAGTTCAGATATTTTTCTTTTTTACCCACTGCATTGTTATTAATGTTGGACTCGAAACCAACTGCTAATTCTAGAACATATAGAGACTTGGACTGGAATAGGAAAAGAAGATCTGGCCCCAGTTGTTCAAAAGCTGGATAGCTCTATCCATCGGATAAATCACTATCCAGTGGAGAAGTATTAGGGAAACCAATTGCACTATCCACTGGATAGAGATTTATCCGCTGGATAGCGCTCTCCATCTTTTGAACAACTGGGGCCTAGACAATAATTTTCACCAGTTATTATTAAGGGATTCAGAAAACCATTAACATCTGCATAGAGTGAAGAGTGAACATTAACTACGGGTTGACGTGACTTGGCAATGAAGTTAAGGATTGAGTCGTGTCTCCAGGTAAGGCGATCAAGATACTAGGGAGTTTAAGATACGGTGACTACGGACTACGACTACGGTTTATCATGCTACTGCGCATGATCAAAACCACGTGACTGTTTATTTTTCCCGCGTAGTCCTGCGGCTACGGTGAGTTGTTGAGCTGTTTCGCGTAGTCGGGACTACGGAGAACATTTTGCTCGCATTTTGCCGTCTCGGTAATTCAAGAATCTCGTCTTTTCGTAAGAAAGTTTTCAATTCACCTGCTTTAAGTGAGGGAGAAGCGAATTATGTAAGTTGTGCCTAATTTCTGCTCAGATTTACGTTTTTAATCCATCGTTGTGACTACATTTTTATCTAGCTAAGCTCATATTTAAAGGAGCTTAGCTGTTTATACGCAGAATTCAGATTGATGGCCGAGGAGAAGAGAAATCATGCAGGTAATTTACTTTCTCTCCGCACTTGAAAAGTTTCAATGTTTGTTCGAACTGATTAGTGTGCCTTTCTACTTGTGTGACCTTTGTTTATGCGAGTTTTTGTATCGCATTTGCTGAATGAAAATGATGTAAACATCTTCGAGACAATCGAAACTCGGCATTTCAATACTTCAAACTACATCAGATCAGTAGTCGGAGAAGTCCATCTTCTAAATCTAATAAATGAGCTATTACTATTTCTGTCTATTTCTTTAATATTTTACATAAGTATTCATGGGCGAAAAAGATAAAATCTGTGCAACCAAAACTTTGTTTATCAATTTCACCCGAGCTACGGTGATGGAACACAAGGAGTAGGCGAATCGACTTGTACGTAATTGCTTCCTTCAAGTATGGAAGAATTTTTTCATTGTTCTAAAGATAAGATCACATGCAAAACTGACTTGCATTTTTGTGAAATGTGATGAAAACAAGAAAATCTTTCGGTGTTGTTTCCCTCTCCGCCTCTTCTCTCGTAGTCTACCGTCTGTAGTGCAATCGTAACGTTCTATATTTTCACGACTCAATCCAGTGCTACAAACAAACGACAACGCTCGTCCAGCCGTAGTTCGTAGTCCGTAGTCTCCGTATCTTAAACTCCCTACTGTTGACAACCAGCGACGACTTGAAGGAGTGAATGAGTAATAATGATAATGATGATGATAATAATAATAAAAATAATAATAATAATAATGATAATAATAATAATAATAATAATAATAATAATAATAATAATAATAATGACGGCGACGACGATGAGGATGATGATAACAAATGGTACCAGAATCAGCGCCAGAGTGTGTTGGAGACGGATAAGATCAAAGTGTTGTGGAACTTCAACACACAGTGCGACCACATAATAGAGGCTAGAATACCGGATATTGTGGTTGTAGGGAAGGAGGATAGATTCTGTAAAATAATCGATGTTACCGTACCAGCTGACTGCAGAATTAATTCAAAGGAAAGTGAAAAAAAACAACAACATTAGAAGTATCAAGAACTCAAGCCTGAGTTATTTTTTAAACTGCGTACCGAAAATAACTTGTTTATGCTCTAAACCCTCTCAAATAAAGCAAACCAATATGGTACAGTAACAATAAGTCTATTGTGTAGGAGCATTAGTACAATTAGGGCTACAATTGATTAACTAACTACCCGGATTCTGAATTTCATGGTCATTGAAAAACTGTGACATTATCTTTTATAAGCCCAAACTTAAGTAAACATAGAAGATTTTTACCGTTTTGGCTGAGTTTGTGCTTTTGGGAGTTTTCTATCGTTTCTAGTCTGTCATGATACAGCATTCTTGTTCAGCACGCGCGCAATGACCGCGCTTGGCTGACTTCCGAATGCTCACCGAGATATGATAATTTTGGTACGGTGAGACAGGCGATCGAGAAATGCTACATAATCTCTAACCCGATTTTCTGTGATAAGTTATTTACACCAATTTGTTATTGTAACGAAGCTTTTGTCATTATTTTTTTACAGGGTCCTCTTTGGAAAATAAAAAATGTGGAAGAATAGACTTCCCTGCTCGTGACGAGCAGCTTGTTTCCCAAACATCCCTTGGTAGTAACTCTGAAAAGAAATCTGATGCTGCATCAGGAAATCAAACTGAAGAATACACAGTGGAAGTCCAGCAGTACCAAAACAGCCGTAAGCGTAAAATTTCAGGATCTTACTGTGATCCAGGTATGGAACTTTTTTCTTGCTGCTGCCTACTGGCACAACTGAAGGGTGAGGTCATTTGTAAGATTTTACAGAGGTACTTTTTATGACAGGGCTTTTTACTGTTTGAACTTTTATCTTAGCAGTGTTAAAACCGATTCGAAAGATTGCCATGAATGAAATATTAAACTGTTAACCTATCGATCTACTGATAGTTTTTTTTTTCCAAATTTTCAGCGTTATATTTAGTACATGCATGGTGAGAAAAGAAATATTGCATTAAGACCTGCTCAACCTCGTTTCCGGAGACGAGGAGGAGAGGATCCTGGGAACGAGGTTGGAGACCTGATTAGGATTCTGCCGATATTTCGATAAGAAATTTCTCAGTGATGTTACCTTTCGTTTTCAGACATTGTTACTAGGCACTGTTATCAAGACCTGAGCGATGAACAGGAAGAAATAGTGCATGAAACTGTGACAAGACAAATACAAGTTTACACTAAATATCGAAGGGTTTCAACCGCGGAAGGAGTGTCTGCTCTGATTGAACATATACAGAATACGTACAACTTGGCCTTGAAATCTGTTGGCATCGGATCTCTCGAATTAACATTTCTGTGCACCTCACTGGAGAGCCTTGAAAGTTTGTGGAGTGACTATCAGTCTGGTCATCTTAATGTCATTGCCGAGAGATACCTTGTGACCGATGACATAAAGAGGAAACTCAACTTGCAAATTGTCAGGTTAAAGACATTTATTGAAGAAGAAAACTATCAAAATTGCCAGAAGATTCTAAGGGAAAAATCATGTGAGTTTAAAGCCCCCTAACAGTTTAAGTTGCAGATAAAACTAAAATAATTTGATCAATGCCATTCGCTCACAGTGAACTAAAATTGACTGGGTATCTGCTTTACTAAATTCCTTAGATCTATCCGGGATCGAACGAAATAGGGCTTCGTGGCCGTTTTGGAGAGTTTAATTGCTATACGTCTTGATTGACCATAAGGCAGATGCGTCTGAGTTTGTGGTTACAATTCTGAAACAGCTTTTCCTATTTACCTGAAAGATTAACTAAAATACATGAAAGCAAAATAGAATAAGGTAAGCATTCATAACAAACGTGGGGTAGCTAACTAACTTTATCTCATTGTGTGTTTGCAGTGTTAACAAGCAGCAGTGGCTTTTCACCCTCAACTGAATCAGATCAAGAAAAAGAGGATTCATTACTGATTGACACAAGCTCAGATGATCCAAAGGTCGGATAGTATTTCATTGCTAGATAATAAACCTTTTTCAAACTGGCCGATTGAAATGTTCTTAAAACATAGCCAGTCTTAACGTCTTATTGATGCTGACAGTTTCGATGACTGTCAGCCATCTTTATCAAAACTTGAAAAACAAACTGTAGTTAGTTAAGTGCCAATTGAAAGTAGTTAGTTAAATGCCAATTAAAAGATGTTGATCAGTTCAAGATTTCTGCCAACGTATTTGAGATAAAGACGCACGTAATTTATTCTACTGTAAGAGCTACTTTTTGAGCGAACCGGAACAACTGTAAACGGACGTCAATTTGTCGTACCTACTCAGTAAATAGCGTTACTTCTAACAATAACACAGCTTTTGTTATAGAATTACACAAGTCAGTCAATTTTACATCATCAAGAAATATTTTTTTAGAGGTGCCAAAGTTTGACCCTCTCCTTACCCTGCGGCCGTAATCAGAAACATATACAAACATATAACGTTGGAAGGGGAAATTGCTTAGTAGTTAGAGTGTAATGAAGTGAATTTTACGCTGAAATAATCACATGGTTTTTGAAAAAGGTAGTTGGTATCATTCTGCCTTGTATCCTACCAAAAACGTCCAACCGACTATGTTTTATGAGATCAGTCAAATGAAGGTGTGAACACAGTGGAAATAACAAGGCAGTCATGAGTCTTGTAATTGCACAATAAAAGTCTTCTTAAAGAACGGTAGTTTAATTTCATCATTTTGCGCGTATACTCCATACATAACGTTTCTCTCCTTCACAGTTGCATTTAACAGGACTTTGTCTTATGTTGTAGTATAAAAGTGTTCTCTTCTTATAATTTTTTCAGGACAGGAAGCAGGTTATGACCAATATTGCCGTAGCTGAAAAGGCAAAAGTAAGTTCAGTGGGATATGTAGTGTAGTGTGCACTCGTTAACCGACTTCCACAGAAATTAAAACTCGGCAGGCACGTGTTTATTATGAGTTGCTGCATCGTTATTTTACGGAATAATAGTGAGTTCCTTTGTAGTGGGTAGTAACTTTTGAGGACTTGTGCTCATTTTTGAGTCAACCTCCTAAAATACAGATACAGATAGTAAACCTATCAAACTGAAGATTCACGCTTGCTTGCATATGATGTGGGGCTTTTCGAAATAGCGTATCGGCCATCATCTTTTCAGATTTTGTTACTCTTATACTGTGAATTGTGGGCACGGTTAGGAAAAGGCAAAATTAGGTTTTAACAACTGCCGGTGAATTCAATTTCCCTCCGTAAAAAAGTTGAAAAGCTGATGTTTCGACGATTTTTGCCATTCTTCCAATACATAGTCAAGCAAATCGCCTAGTAAAGGGACTTCACTGCCAGATTCACATTGGTCCCGAAGAAAATAGTTATACTTCCGAACTCAAGGGAAAAAGACTAACTGGTTTCCCGAGGGACATATTAAGGACTTTAAGATCCAACGACGCGACGCTTAAAAAGTGAATTTGCATTCCTTTATTCCTAATAGCAATTATTCCTACCCACTTACTTTGTCAAATGTAGGCGAACCCTCCTGAAGCTGAATTTCAAGGAACCATAGCCAAGCTCAGAAAGAGAAGTAAAGTTTCGTAGTTGCTTGAATACGACCACCATAAAACGCAAAATTAGGCATTTTCACGTCGTGGCGTCCAAAAACAGAAAAGAAATGTACAAAAAAGCGTGATGCACGTGCGAAGTTGTTGTTTTGCTATTAAACCAATTGGGTTTTTTTTTGACGTTCTCGTCGCCGTCCGCGTCGTTGGATCTTAAAGTCCTTAATATTAAGTGCTTTGCTATATTTCTAGACTTTCACTTCAACAGCGGCAAAGAATGACTGGAACGGATCAAAATCATGTCGACTCGTTTCTTATAGTAACACAAGTTAAATTTTCAAAACCGCTGAATACGTGTTTTCAAATAACTTTCCTTCCGTCATTTCCACCTTGCTTCTCCACTATCTCCTGTTTCTTCTTGGATAACTTTAAAAATCTTTGCTTTTTAGCTTGAGACTCCGTGTTTGTGATGTTGTGATCACCATAGGGATCCCACACTCTTATTTGCGAACTGCAAATGGAAATAAAATGAGAGACAAAAACTTACCTGTTCTATTTTTGAAACTGCTGCGGAGAAAAGTGAAATGGAAGTTGTTCTAGGATGCAAAAACAATGTTCGTGTCGACGCTTTGACTTCACAATGCTTTATTTTATTAGGGACTGTGCAATAATTATCAGGAGGTGGGGATGAAAAACTAGAGGGGGGCATTACATAAAATTGCTGCCAAGATAGGGGGGGCTTAAAGTAAAATCACTCATTTGACGGAGGGGGTCCTTAAGTTTTATTCGAAATGTAAATAAAATTAAAGTAACAAAAGATTCTCAATACAGGCATCATGATAGACTGTAACAAATATCAATACGAACAGCTGTTAAACGATTGTTGAAAATATTCCATCAAAATAAAAAGCAAATTCACAATTTTAACCCGTCTTCTGATTGATTGAGCTGATCGTATGTAAAACAAAAATCATGAACTTGTTTTTCAGCTTCCCCCATAAAACAATGGGAATCAAATAGATCTCGTAGACAAGCTTTGTCGGTTTTTGATGTGAATAAAAGTAGTGTTTCTTCATCGACTGAATCGATTTGCTGAATTCCATTTATATATCTGGCTCATAACAAAGTTCAACACGCTCTCCTCCCAAGGATCTAAATATAATGCAAGCTCTTTTTTGTCTGTTATTTGAAGCGTTCAATCTCCTGTTCTTTGATTTTCTTTCTCTGCTCCTTTCTCTTTCTGGCTTCAAAAGTTTTAGATTTTGAGCCAATGTAGTAAGCACCCCGGTACTTAACAAATGCTTTGTCTAAATCTTCAATCAAGCGATCAACATCCTTCTCGATACTAGATGTTACATAATAACGTTTGTCATTATTGAAGCTGTGATGGCAGCTCAGTCCAGTTTTGAGTTTACCAGTGTTTTCAGAGAAGAGGCTGTCGTAAAAGGTATTTTCTTAAAGGCACCTATGGTAATGGTGGCGGTGAGGGGTGGGTGTGGGTGGTTGATCGGAGGGCGGTGCGACGTTATTTTTAACATAACAGAGGGTGGTTAAAACTAATTTTTTTTGTTTTGGAGGGGGGTACTGTCTAAGTTTTTGCTAGATAACTCTAGGTTTTTAGCCCCCCCCCCCCCCCTCCTGATAATTATTGCACAGTCCCTTATTATCGTCTCGCGTTTTGCTGTTTGGACCAGTTTACCACGCAATGCCGCGCGAGGTAACATCCCACGATAACCATTCTAGTTAAAACGAATACAGCAAGGCAATACCTGGGTATATATGCAATCGAACTTGAAACAATCTCAGAACTTACGCAGAAAAGCACAAGAAACTCTCAGACGTCAAACGCGAAGATAACTTCCGGTCCAGTCAACTGGAGGCATTCATATCTCCAAAAGTCAGTAATCCATTTCTGATCATTTTGAATGCGAAGATTTTTGTTTTAAATAGAAATAAGTGGAACACCATATATTTTATCCCTTCAACTGTTGTTGGGTTAAATTTTGTGTAAAAACCGCACGTTATACTTTAGTACGGCCTGGAAATAAATCGGTCCTCAAATTAATTTTATCCCTTGTCTCTTTTCTGTCTCCCTCTCTCGCGCGCTAGTAATCAGCAGGGAAACGCGAGACAATAATAACAACCGCGTGACACCAAAAGTGATATGGGAAACAAACCACGTTAAAATAAAGCATTGTGAAATTAACTCAAAACGCCGACACAAACATCGTTTTTGCATCATAGAACAACTTCCATTTCACTTTGCTCCGCAGCAGATTCAAGAACAGAACAGATGAATTTGTATCTCTCATTTCATTTGTATTTGGAGTTAACAAATAAGAGTGTGGGTTCCCTATGTGTTCAGTCACGAAAGTGAAAAATGGCAGTGTTTTTCCTGCCATATGTCACACACGCCACTTATCACGGCATGCTTTGATCACGTTCTGCAACGCATCCCGGGCGGGCGGGGTGCAATGGCTCAAACGTATCGCGATCGGGACTCATATAATTTTAGCCGCGGGCACGTGACTAAGAATCAACAAGAGACAATAATCTAAAGCTTAACGCGCAAACCGACGCAACATTGTTGGCCAACAACTCCCCAGATTGTTGGATGTTACATGTTGCGTCCGTTTGCACTTTCTTTTGCATGTTGTTGCGAGTTGTTGCGCAAGGTTTGAAACCGGTCAAACTTTTAGCCCCGTGCAAACGGACCCAACATTGTTTGGAGTTGTTGCGTGCGTTTGCACGTAGCTTAAGAGAGCGAATCCCTATGCCCCATGATAATTATTTAAAATCTATTTAAAGCTCTCTTGCGTGTCGCGAAGATTATTTTTGTCTGTCATTGTTGTTGTTGTTGTTGTTGTTTTTGTTTTTACACTTCTATTGGGGTAAAGCGGCAATCATGAAACAATTAACAAGACGACATATGATTAACGAAATAAAATAAAAATAATTAATTATAATTACAAGAATAATTAAAAAACAATTGCGGATCCCCAAAAGGGCAAGTGCAAACTGGACCCTAGACCCATGAAAGGCACCGCCCAATTTTTAAATAGCTTAATTTACCCCTGGAAAAAACAAACAAACAAACACAAACAGAACAAAACAAAATTTAAGTCAAAATCGAGATGTACGTTAACAAAAAAAGTGAAAAAAAACAACAAACAACAAACAAAACAAGAAAGTGGATGTGGTAGGCACAGTCACTTCGACCTATGACAGTGACAGGTCATCACTAAAATCCATCTGCAAGAGCTTTCCACTTCATAGGTATTAACAAGTGGTGAACATAGTTTTACAAACAAAATGCTGAAGAGATTGCGGACCAGAGAAACTACTAAACGGACTTAGTGAACAGACAAAATTCAATAACTTAGTAATATCATTAAAATAGAAAGCCTTAAAACTACTGGTTCTGCAAAGAGGAGTTTTCAAATTGAAAGAATTACTTTGTCTGGTACGGCCGTGAGAAATAAACGATGTATGTTCTAGAACATCAATGTCAGTAAAGCCAAAAAGGCATTTGTAGAAAAAGACTGGATCCTTAAGTTCCCTGTCCAAAACAAGAGGCAGGAGGTTCAGCGTGACAAGTCTTTCCTTATAGGACATTTCGTCCACCAGGGTCTGAAGAATTCATCGTATGGCGCGCCTTTGAACACGTTCGATCTTCGCCCTCAACGAGTACTGGTTTGGCGACTACACTTGAGTCGCGTAGCTCAACTGGGACTTTCCCAGAGGCAGAGCGTCCGCCGCACATTGACGTCCATTTAGAGAGGGCAGGCTCTCTTCAGAAGCCCGAGGGACTTGTTGGCCTCAGTGACGATGTTATGGATGTGAGTTCCCCAAGACAGGGAGTTAGTGATAGTGACTCCGAGATCTATCTTCCCAGTAACTCGCTTAAGGTGTACACCATCAGGCTTGTAACTGTAACACAAGAGCTTCTTCTTTCTCGTAACGCTTTGTGCTTTGCATTTGGACGCATTGAAGCAAATGTTGTTCTCTTTACTTTAATGTTCCATGTTTGAAAGAGTTATCTGTAATGCCAAGCAAACTAGTTCCGAACCAATGCAGTTAATTATTTTTGTGTCACCTGCGTAAAGAGCAGTCGTAACCTTTCCTTCGGATCAATGCATTGGGGAGGTCATTAATGAAAACTTGTAAAGAGTATTGGACCTAAGAAGACTTCCCTGCAGAACAACAGACGCAACAGGGGCCCATTGCGAGGCTGCGCCATCAACCACCACACGTTGGACCCGCCCACTCAGGTACTTCTTGAAGCAGAAAAAAATTGTCCAGAGACACCGTATGCACTCAGCTTGGCAAGAAGGATGTTATGGTCAACGGAGTCAAAAGCCTTTGCAAAGCCCAAGTAAATAATATCCGTCTGCATGTTCTAGTCTAAATATTCCCTGATTTCGTGCAGAACAGATAGAAGCAGAGCAACACATGAGCGGTTCCTTAAAACCCGTCCTATAGATGAGTTATGACGTTATTTAGATGTTCGTTAAGGCGATTGAAGTCGCTCCTCAACTTTGCTCACAATGGGCAGGAGCGAGATGGGCCGATAATTTTTCCGAGCCTCCTTTGAATTCTTCGTGTGGGTGGATGTTAAGTCCGCAGATTTCCAATCCTTAGGAATTTGACCGGTGCAGAGTATTTGGTTAAAGATCGCGCACGAACTCGGGGCGATTTGGTTGCTGCATTCCGTTAACAGCCGCGAGAGAATTCCATCAGGGCTGTCAGCTTTCGGTGTGTCTAGTCTGTTTAGACAATTTGTTACTTCTCTAACTGATACTTCAGCATGCGAGAGGTCTGTTACGGCCCTCCGCACACCAGTTACACTGCTGTCTACGCAGCAAGTTGCAGGTCGAACGACTGAAGTACTTGTTGAAAACTTCCGCTTTGTCTACATTTTTCTCAGCAACCTCACCCTTGTATGTGATGATGGGCTTCGCACCGGTCCTCCCTTTCAGAAACGCCTAGGGATAGCTCCAAAAGTGCTTGGGATTATCCCTGATAGAAGACTCGACTTAAGCCAAGTACTGGCGGTGCTTCACACGAATCAGGATCTTAATTTCTTGGCTCACAGAACGCAGTTTCTGCCTTCGCACATCGCTTCCGTTCTGACGAAATTTCCTTAAATCTGCATATAGGTAGCGTACCTCACCATCTATCCAAGGAGGAGAGTTTGAACCTCGGAAAGTCTTCGCTGGGATTTTCTCTCTCACCGCAGATAAAAACAGGTTCTTCCAGTTTGCCCAGTATTCATCAATGTCATCGACCTGGCGATGTCAAATGGCACCCTTTCCGGGGTCTCCTAGCCTCCCACGCAGGCGTTTTTAGTTGATCTCGTTTTTCATTCCTCCCCACAAACGCCTGCTCAACCGAAAACAGCATTTCTTTCCCATTGTTTTATTTGCGTGGTAAGTGACCAATCAACAGTTGTGCAATAAAGTGTTGACAGGCTAAACGCGACTAAAACGTGACCCTAGAGTTACCGTTTTCCTTCTTTTCTTTCCTTCGCTAAGGTTATGCAGTGCATGGAGTATTCTAAAATTTGACTAAATCTTATTTTTGCCGCTCTGAATCTGACATTTATTAGAGGTCAGAAAGCTTTCCCAGTGTTTTTTGCAGATCGAGTAATTATCAGATTACCTTGCGGTCAAGGTCAACTTTCCAGAATTTGGAAAGTACAACGTGATTGGCTAAGCATGGGAAAGGAATGTTGTCTTCGGTTGAGCAGGCGTTTGTGGGGAGGGATGAAAAACGAGCTCCCCTAGAAACGCCTGCGTGGGAGGCTAAGGGTCTTCCGGAGGTCGTCAAAACTGCCGAGTGCCGTTTTAACAGTCATAAACTTGCCGCTTGAATGACTAAGCTTTCTTGAATTGAAGTCTAATGGTAAACTCAGTGACCTAGTGGTCTAAAGGAAATGTGCTCTCTTGTGGATGAGAAGTAAAGACACCCTCAATTACCTCTGTGCAGTTGTGCGTACAACAGTAAGTCAAGCTTGTTTCCTGCAATATGGGAAGGGCCTGGAATAAACTATTGGAGAAAGTTGCCGCCCATTAATTCACCAAAGGTATTATGATCTACTCTCCCTCCAGTGTTAAACGGAGCACTTTGATCGCCGGACCAATCTAGGTCACTTAACTCAGCCAAGGTAAAGAATCAAGGTGAGAGAAACAATAAAGTAGAACCGACATATTTTTGCCCTTTTCAACTCCACGGCAATAAACTCTAACCTCTCTCTTTCAAGATCAGCCGGCCGTGTAGCTAACATATTGGCTTTTACAACCAAAAGCACACAACCCCCAGATCAGTCGTATCTATCTCGTGGAGTGGCTGGGAAGGATCTCACCGTCCACTATAGTTGAGTTCAGCCATGTCTCACAACCGCCGATGACATCAAAATCTCCACCGTAAACTAGCTGCTGCAGCAGAGTGGATTTAGCGACTTTGATCGAACAATCGTAATGGGTGGTCACAGAGGCTAAAAAAACTTCTAGCGTTAAGGTAAAGGGCGCGAAGATCGTCACTCCGGGAATCTTCGTGCACGTTTGGAGCTGAGGACCCATGCGGTCTATTTTCATTTGAACGTGACATATTTGGCCGCCAAACATTTGAAGTTTGACAATCGCTATAGCAATTGTCGCGCCAAAGGTTTATGTTGTTGACATGTTTTGTTTTCCTTAAAATGACCACGCAGTATCGCAAAATTCCAGGAATAGATTTCGAATAAGTTTCTTGGGAAGCAGGGTCATGTATGGGGGATTCGCTCTGTTAGATTATTTTCTACCAATGGCAGTACCTGTTTAGTTGAGTGAAAGCCTAGGAGTATAACAAAAATTACTTTAAATCTCAGGGTGTAACGTATGGAGACTAATGGAAATGGCTGTAGTTTGGAAGTGATTATCAGTAATCCTTTTATATTTACTGTCTTATCAGAGAATGTTTTTTTTAAACAGGCGTCGAGGGGCCCGTTACACAAGGCTTCCATCAGTGGACAATACGAGACCGTCAAGACGCTTCTTCAAAATGGTGAAGATGTGGATCAAAGAGATCAGGTCTTAGTCTTCTCATGCTTGTATAATTTTAGTGTGAAGCCCGTCTTCAGCGCCACAAGTGGTCCTGAGACCACAAAGGCATGCTTAAATTCAATTTGATTAGTTGGCTCTTTGAAGTAACGGCGTTTCCATATTAGCGGAGCTCTTGCGCGCCCGAAGCTCGCGCAGCGGAGCACCATCGGTAAGAAGATTTGGTTGTCTTATGTATCCGAGAAATTTTGGTTGTGACTTGTAGTCACGTAATCGTACGTCCGTCCGCACCACAGACATTACAATGTTAAACGACTCAATCAACAGGTATGACAACCCAAACGCAACTCGAGGACTTTTTTGGCGGGAAATCGCATGGCCACCCGCGTCTTGTGAAGCCGAGACAATTAGAGAGTCAATAAAGACAAAAAGGAAGGCGAAAATTGTTTCTATACCCGTGTTGTCTAAAGTATTAAGCTTAGATTTATTCTCATGTTCACAAATTTGGAATATAGAGAAAGACAGAGAAAACGAGAAAGTGGGGGACAGGCTAGTGAAGCTCAACGAGAAAAGGAGCGACAGACAGCTATTCACAACACTCATAATGATAAGCAAAGGTTGAAATACGCTTAATTAACAGGTGTTTCACGTCTAGTCAAAACGTCTCGCGTTCGATTACATAACGTTCGATGATAAATCCTGATTTGGCGTAGAAATCACTCATTCTACCTCAGTTTTCGGGGTGAACGGCCCAACCTCTCACCCAATGAAATCGCGTGGGTCTTGTTACTATCTCCCCCCATTAAAGCCAAGCTGTCTCAACTTGGTTAAGTTAAGTTCGGATCAATCGTGAATATGAATGTTGCGGAATAGATTTGTATTTCTCAGGCGCGGTCCACACATATCCCTTTTTGCTTGAAAACGAGTATTTTTTCTCCTGTTTGGCCTACCGTCCACTCGAATTCGGTGAAAACGGTCACCGAAAACGCATCTTTTCAAAAACGCTCTCCAGAGTGGAGATTTTTGAAAACGCCGGCTTTTCGTCTACGTGTGGACGGACGAAAACGGAGGTTTTCGAATACGATGATGTCGTACATGTACATCATATACTTCTAGCGTGACGCATGTTCAATAAGGGATGCTATCGTATTTCCATCGTTTTAGGGTTTTCGTGTGGACGGGCGAAAACGACTCGAATACGTTACGCGTGAATGCGTGTTTTTTTAAAAAAGGAGGAAAAAATCTTAGTTTTCAAAAATATCCGGATACGTGTGGACGAGCCTCATTGTACGCTGCCTCAAGGGTGATTGTCGGCCTTTAAGTGGCATTCAGTTTTTATGATTTGTTTCCAGTTTTCTCTGACACCTCTTCACCTTGCCTGCTGGTATGGACAGGAAGCTGTGGTTGAACTTTTATTAGAACGTGGAGCGAGCGTCAACGCCGTAGACAGGGTAAGTTTACCAAGGGACCTTTGTGAGAACACCTTTACAGTGAATGTGCCGCAAAAGTGGACCACAGTAGCTTGTCGGCGAATTTACCACACCTCTGTCTGGCTCGCGTTAAGTGTATTTTGATGTCAAATTAATCGCGATTCCGGTGGTTTTTACACTATCCTCTCCTCTCCTGTTAAGTTACCTTAATCTGTTAGAACGTTTTTCCTTTGTCCGCATAGTTAGCAGATCGATGTTTTTAACAAAGGGAGTGCAATTGTATTTACTTATCAGTCTGCCTATTCTGGTTTTAGTTTCAGCGTACCCCTCTGCAAAAAGCTGAACGTCGAAGCCATCACTCCATAGTGAAGTTGCTTTTTAAGAATAACGCCAGACGAAGTTTTCATCAACCAGTAAGATATCAGATTATGTCTTTCCCATGTCCTCAAACTTTTCCAAAACACGAAAAGGCTCTATTAAATTATTTAGATTTTTCTCCCCTTGCTTAATTTCCATACATAGTGAGTAGCAAAATAGAATAACATAAACGTTCTTTTGCAGTTCTCGTATCCTTTGCTGAAAATGTTCAAGGCCACATTAGAAGCAATATATCCTCGCTTTTACTTAGGTTATATCGTTAAAAAAAAATTGTGTTCATCTATATGATTGACTGTATATCAGTCGTCAGTCTATGAATGTATGCCATTCGTTTACTTCTCTTACGAATAGTGTAATAGTAATTTTAATTTTCAGTGAAAAAAAACCTTGTACCAGAATAATTTAAAGAATATTGCATTCTTTTTTACATTTTTCAAGGGCTAAAGATGTAATTAGTCATCTGTAATAACACTAAAGAAAATTTCTCATGGGCTTCCGAGAGCATAAATGTCGAATTTCACAAGAATTGTGAAAACACAGGTAAAATTCTGACAATTTCATGTGTAAGATGTCATTTTGTGAAATTTGACATTCATTTTCTTGGGCTCCGATAAGAAATTTTCTTTGGTGTTATTACAGATGACTAATTACATATTTAGGCCTATAAAAATGTAAAAAAGAATGCAATATGCTTTAAATTATTCTGGTGCAAGATTTTTGTCCACTGACAATTAAAATTACTCAATTTCCTGGTGGATTCCGTCTTAAATCTAATCCCCGTGACACTTGGTATTCGTTGTTTGGCGCTATAGTGGATAAGAAGTTACTTTTCAAACAGAATGCAATGTGTTGAATTTAATGGCCATCGTTTGTTATCAAAATATGGGTTCCCTCAGGGTTCTATCCTCCGACCTCTTTTTTCTTACCTTACATTAGCGACATTAACAATGCTTCTAGCTTATCAAATTTGATGTGTTTGTCGACGATACCAATGTATTCATGTCACCTAACGATCCGGACTTTCTTTCAGATATGTTAAATTTTGAGATGGGCAAACTGTCAATCTAGTAGTTTAAAGCGAACAAACTTTCTCTAAATCTAAAAAGAGACTACATATATGGTTTTCCAACCAAGTAAAAAACGTACGGATTGCGATATTCAAATACCTATAGATTATTTAACATATCGTTTGAATGTAGGAGAAAATTTTTTATGAATAATTTTGGATGAAAACCTAAATTGAAGTCGGAAATATGGCATGTCGCAAGCAAAGTTGTGTAGTTAATCGGTGTAATACTTAAATACAGCTTTTACCTTCTACCTTTTATAAGCAGCTCCAATATACCGTGAAAATTAATCGAGAGTTAATGACATCCTGATGATGTTCTCTCTGACTTCGCTCAATAGTTGACCCTTTTTATTACAGCTCAGCCTGAAGAAACTCTCGAGAGATGCGTTCTTAAAAGTGGATAGACGATCTGGATTAAATTTGCTACAAGCTGCTGTATTTGGAGGGAAATATAGCATGATTTCCAAAGCTCATGGCCTTCTTGACTACTTTGTAACAGGGATGAAGTCTTTAAGAACAGGGAAAGATGCAAACATTTTCCCAGGGAAGACGGCAGTTAACATCTTATCTCTTCTGGAGAAGAAAAGAGAAAGTCATGTTGCTATCGAAAGGCTTTACCAAGACCGGGTCAGGAACGAAGATAGATCCACAAAGCTACAGCAGTGCATATTTAGCGATGATGTGGAAGAGGCGGTAGAGCTTGTATTAAATGAAGGTGCAGATGTAAATACCCCCGGCCCATATGATTGTACACCGTTGCTGTGGGCAAGTCTTTCATCCTCAAGTAAGTTTATCGGGACCCTCCTTGATCTTGGGGCTGACGTCAATGCCCAAGGAACAGAAAGCAAAGTGACGCCGTTAATATTGGCAATTCAGTGGAACCACTATATGGCATCTCGCTTGTTATTAATGCATGGAGCGGATGTAAACGTTCTTGATAGTCATGGACATGCGCCACTGCATTTGTCGGTAAGAAATGGTTACATAAATCTTGTCAGTTTGTTACTTCAAAACAAAGCAAAAGTAAACATTCAAGATAAAGATGGAGCAGCGCCCATTCACTGGTCAGTAAAGAAAGCTGACGAAAAGCTTGCAAGATTGTTACTTGCCAACGCCGCGGATGTAAATATTCAAGATGGGGATGGAATAACACCGCTGCATTTGTCCGTCAGGATGGGTAGGGAAAATCTCGCTACACTGTTACTAGAAAACAACGCCGATGTGAATGTTCAGAATAAAGACGGGCAAGCACCACTGCACTTGTCGGTGGAGAACGGAAGCGAAACCCTCGTCAGCTTGTTAATTAAAAGGAAAGCTAATGTTAATGTTCAAGATAAGGACGGAGAAGCACCACTTCATTGGTCGGTAAGAAAGGGTGACGGGAAACTGGTAAGCCTTTTACTTAACCAAAGCGTGGAGGTGAATATGAAAAACAATGATGGGGAAACACCATTGCATCTTTCTATCAGAAATAATGACGAAAACCTCGTCAGATTGTTACTTGAACATAGGGCTGAAATAGATACTAAAGATAATGATGGAGAAGCGCCACTCCACCTGCCAATCAGGATGGGTTACGAAAACCTCGTGAGACTGTTACTTCAACGCCGACCGGATGTTAATATTCAGGATCAACATGGGACAGCACCAATACACTTGTCCGTCAGGATGAGTAACGCAACCTTTGTAACACTGTTACTTGAGCACGGCGCTGATGTTAATATTCAAGATAATGAAGGAGAAGCACCTCTCAATTTGTCAGTCAGGATGGGTAACGTCCATCTCGTCAAGATTTTACTTAAAAACAATGCAGATGTAAATATTCAAAATGATGACGGGAAAACACCCTTGCACTTGGCTGTGTTGAACGGTCACAGAAGGCTCGTCAGCTTGTTAATTGAAGAGGAAGCAGATGTGAATATTCAAGACACTGGTGGAAAAACACCATTGTACCTGTCAACCAGAAAGGGTGGCTTAAACATCATGAGACTGTTACTTGCAAAGGCCGCGGATAAGAATATTCGAGACAATGATGGGGTATCGCCGCTGCACATATCAGTCAGAATGGGTAACGAAAGCTTTGTCAGATTACTACTCGAAAGTGGAGCGAATGTAGAAATTCAAGCTAATGACGGAAAAGTCCCGCTGCACTGGTCAGTAATAGAGGGAGACAAAAACCTTACCAAGTTACTAATTCACCACAACGCGGATGTAAATATTCAAGAAAATGGTGGAGAAACGTCCCTGCACTTGTCAGTGAAGAAAGGTGACGAAAGCCTCGTCAAATTGATACTTAATAATACCTTGGATGTCAATGTTCAAGACAAACGAGGGTACGCACCGCTACATTTGTCAGTCATAAAAGGTCACGAAAACCTGGTCAGGTTGTTACTTGAACAAAAGGCGGATGTAAATATTCGAGATCATAATGGAGAAACACCTTTACACTGGTCGGTCAGGGAGGGTCGCAAACACCTTCTCAAGGTGTTGATCGACAACAATGCCGATGTAAATATCCAAGATGGCAATGGAGAGACGCCTTTACACCGGTCAGTTACAAGGGGTGACGAAAACCTCGCCAACCTCTTACTTGCAAGCAACGCGAATGTAAACATTCAAGATTATGCGGGAGAAACACCGCTTCATTTGTCTGTGAAAAAGGGTGACAGAAACCTCACCAGATTGTTAATTGACGGCAACGCTGATATAAATATTGTAGAAAACGATCGTGCAACTCCACTCCATTTGTCGGTGAGGAATGGTGACGAAAGCCTCGTCCTGTTGCTGCTCAAAATTATCCGGGACGTCAATGCTCAAGATCTTCTTGGACACACACCATTACACTGGGCGGTCATTAAAGGAGACGAAAACCTGGTAAGCTTGTTACTTGCAAACAACGCTGACGTCAATATTCCAGATAAAGAAGGATTTTTGCCACTGCACCTATCTGCCAGTTGTAAGGACAGAAATAACAGCAACATAATCGATCTGCTAGTAAAGCACGGAGTGCAAACTATTGAAATCCTTGATGCAGAAGGTTTGACTCCGTTGCAAATGGCAGTGAGATGTTATAACATACAAGCTGTGAAAAAGCTCGTTGATCTCGGTGCAGACATCAGTAAAGTGACAGCTGATGGCAAGGATGCTACTAAATTTGAATGCTTGAAGAGAGAGAGTGCCGAGGAAAGTGAAGACACGGTTTCTTAACTGAAAAAAGTTTTCTCGCAACAAGCAAAGCTGATTAAGAGTGGTCAGTTTACAACAGGGGCCTCGTTCGCTCACGTTTGACATATTTTCAAATGCCCTTTTTACCCGCATTTAATATTTCCTTATCCTTCAGTGGTTGCTATAATTGTTAATCTTCAGAGTTTGCTAAAAGCAATTTTGTGTATTGATATATCTTAAAGCCAAATTGTATGATTATTAAGTTGTATGGTTCGCACTGATTCCGCAAACCCCAGACGATAAGTTTACGAAACTAAGTGTATTTAGCCTACTTAGCTGTCTCATTTTGACTTTTTAGTCAGCTGTGTTAGATAAATGTGTATAAAGAGAAACAGAAATATTGGTATATTTCAATAGGAGAAAATATGTGGAAAAAGGTTGGTAAAAGAAAACTGTTCATCAATTTATGTTAAGTGTATATTCAAAGTGGCAGTGCGTCGAACTGTGACGGGATTTCGTCCTCTTATAAGACTAGGTAAGGACTATGTAAATGTAAGCGTCATGCTGAAATGTCAACATGTCAAAACCAAACAAAGGAAAATGACTTACTTTTCGAACAACTAGTAATAACATTGATGCTGTGGCAAAGGCAAATTAACAACATCAGTTATATCCTTAAGTCAAAGGCTAGAACATGATTTCGGGCATTTTTCATTATGCTCAAGCACTTTGGAGCTACTTTGGGTAACCAGCGTTCGTCTTGAAATTCAAAACACTGCTTAATTACAAGCATTTTTTTCATTTAGCGGTAAAGATCCGTTACACACAGAGATGAACTTGGAAATCTTTGTTTCAATCATGTTTTACAGCTTCAATACCAGAGTCTCTTCTATTTCAATAAAACGATCCTGATTAAATTTCGATGCTCTATGACTTCTCAACTTTTGCCGAACACGGATAGAAAAAAGTCTTTGGTTATTCCCCTCAATCTGCCTTTTTGTCCGTTCCCCTGTTCATTGTGTTGAGGTCAAATGTCATACCTTTCATGAGACCACAAGCGGCGCAAGTTAGGTGCACAAATTACCGCGTGTTTTGAAACTAGAGACCTTAAGCATCGACAACGAAACGGACGACGACGGCGACGATTCGCAACCGAGGTAGACTGGGCCAAGGGTTTCGTTTTCGGGGGGTGGGAGGAGGGAACGAAGTTTAAGCAGTGGCATTCGAAGACCTCTCTAATTTACATTTTATAAGCTATGACGATGGTTTAATGACAGTGGCAAATTTATTGTTCTTTATTACTTGTAAGTTGATTGTGGAGGCTTTCTCTTTGTCGGGCAGCTTTTGTTTTTGTTTTGAAGTTGAAAGTGAATACCGATCTTGAACAGCTCTTAATTTGAAGTTACTCTAAATTTCGGCTGCTGGAGAGAATTCAGTGCTGCTGCAATGTTCTCCCAAACTTATCCTCTCTCAAGGCTCCTCATAGCCACGTTCAACCTGTTCCGGGGTCCACTGGAGATTGTTGCCTTCACTAGCGGCTAAAAACATCATAGGAAAATATTAAATTTTAGTACGAAAAAAATTAACATTTATCCTATAGTACAACCTAAAATGCACGAGTAAACATAGACCGTCAAGGAACGAACAGCATCTAATCTCACGCAAGGTTCAGAAGATAGCAGAGGAAAGCTTACTTGTCTTTCTGGCTGGCTGTTCCGCTATCACTCAGGTGGTCAAACAAACCGAACCTGAAAAATAAATTCAAGTTAGCAGGCGAAGAAATCGACAATGTGCTTAACATTTGGATTCTGCTAATCCACAAAGAATATATTTGTACTTCTACTGAATGACAAGGTGGAAAAAGAGTGATTTACACGTAAAAAGTATATTTTTATACTTACGTTTTAGCGACAACGGCAAACCCCCCTGAATTTCGTCGTCGACAAAGGCTGGACGACGTTTTGACAACCTGACGCGTGCCCATAAGGTTCGCGCGGGAAAATTTCACTTCCAGTCGGCGTCGTCCTCCCATTCCGTCGTCGATGCTTGAGGTCCCTACTGTTTAATATATTACGAACGATTCAGTATAGACTTTGCATGAGAAATTCAATATAGATATTAAAGTCTTGAAATATAAGCATAAATAGAGAAATATATTGCACTTACGTAACTTTGGGTCTGTTGTTGCTCAGTTTTTGTGTACCTAGGCTCAAGTATACGGTTTTGCAGCGCGATCTTTTTTTCCGTCTTGTTTTCCAACATATTGCAAAGCAAGGCAGGTTACTTTTGCACTTTCAACTCACAAATCTCTACCGCAGCCAAGAACAGCGCACCGATTTGCCAAAAAAGCGCCAAATCCTCCACATAAGTCTCTCATCTCTTTCCCCCATCATGGGTATTGCAATGCGTTTTTTTTTTTTTGTGGGAACTGCTTTTTTCTAAAGCTTTTGTTTCTGCTGGTTGAGTCTGTTGTGCGTGCATGGGGAACGCGAAGATGGACTCAGTGGATCCGGGTTAGCAAAAGTGCGTAGTCATGGAGTTTTCTGAGCTATGTGGAGCGTAAAACAACCGTTCCATTTCACTTCGCACCACAGCCGATTCAAGAATAGAACAAAACAGGTAAGGTTTTATCTCTTATTTAATTTCCATTTGCAGTTTACTAATAAGAGCGTGGGTTCCCTAAGTAGAAGCATTAAATGTTCAGCGCGCCTCCGAGTTCCTGGCAGTCAACTCCCTAGGGTTAATACCCAGCGTTTTAAAAAGAGTTTTTTGTAATAGGCTCTTTTTCAAATATAGAGTAGCTATTAAATGTAATGTGGATCTTGAATGTTAAATTCAATTTAAAAAAAAATGGAAGGGGGAGGGGTAGTCTGCTACACAGCCGTTTTTAGAGTCGCATCAAAATATGATATTAAGCAGCATTCTGACGCTACTTAAGAATAATTTGAGTCATTTATAACGTTTTTACCAAATAATCTATCACGGCTATTGAAAATTTAAGGTTCGAAATATATTTTCGTTTTAGTCGAATTCAAACATACAGAATTTTTTTACTTATTACGGAGATTGTTTGTTTTAACACCAAACTTTAAGTTCCTAGTGTTGGATTTTCAGTAGCTCGTCTAAATCACATAAAATTCGGCTTTTATCAATTTCAAAGTGTTTTGTTTATTGTTGTCATAGTAATATCGATTTTACTTAGAACTACATTTTCTCAAATTTCCATCCATAGCCAGTTACTGGTGAAAATTTTATAGCGATTGGACCAGGAAAAACCACTTTTAAGGCGATTGAAAAATATCTGTATGGCCTCTGAAAAAACTGTATCGAAACACCTTAACGATCCTCTTTATATCGACGTCCTCGGTATAACGAAAGATTTTCTTCAGCCCGGCCAAAATTACAATAAAATGTATGGAGCAGAATTTCGATTTAACGAAAGCCTCGTTATAATGAACACATTCCAGAAACGCAAACGTAATTTAATATACCTCGACATAACGAATACTGAAATGTGAACATGTGACCAAACAATAGCTAAAGAGAATTGCCAGACCAGCGAGGATAAAATTTATGTGTACAGTAGTCTTAAGCAGTTTTGTTTGCCTGTTCTTGTGTTTCTAGTGCCGTAGCTATGTACAGCCCTGAACTGAGGCAATAGCTTCTCATACAAATGTTTAGTACAGAAATTGTTCAAATCCTGAAATGCTGGGCGTTGGAAATCAATTTGTTTTCCCAAAAAATTGGTTAAATCGAGGTTTTCGATACAACGGACCCTCGATATAGCGAACAAATTTTCCTAGTCCCTTGGCACTTTGTTAAATCGAGGTTCTACCGTATTTGGTAAATATGGAGAAAATGGCGGAAATTCTCAAAAGTTTTCGAAGAAGAAATAACAAACTACTACCGAAAAAACTTGACAGATGATAACTTCTATTTTAAAAATATCTACTGGACTTAATATTATCTAGAATTGCCGGGGCGAGCAGGTAAATGAAGAAAGATAGGATCGAGGTAAGCATATTGTAGTATGAAAGTATGAATTATTTCGAATGAATAACAAACAAAAAAATTACTTTAATTTGGCTCTTGTATGATGTGAAGAATTTATATGCAGTTCTCGGAGGGTGTTCAGTTCCTCGATTTGTGTTATTTTTCAAATCATACTCAGCCGTTTTTGTTACACTCCGTGGGTTCAGCGAATAAAACGTACTGCGTTAATGACAAGTTCCACTGTTTTTTATTCCGACCGCTTCACTCTACACACTCGTCCGATCCGCTCGCACTCTCCCCCAGGGGGGACTCCGCATATGAAAGGGGCGGGAATGCTCGTCGGAAATTTTGAATTAAACCCCTAAAGGAGACCGATCTGGGCGTGGCTCAAGCTTTTTTGACGCCTAAAAGAGACCATGTTAAAACACAGACAATATACATATTTTAATATTTTTTCCCGTGCAACCCTAAACGAGACCTTCACGGCTAAATATGATGGCGTTTTGCCCAGAACACCCTAAGTGAGGCCTCCTTGGGATCTGTGGTCTTAAAAATAACTCGAGACGAATTACCTATGGAATAGGGTGTGTATGGGGGATGCCTTCTCTGTCCCCTTTATCCTCTCTTGCTTACATTTTATCCAGGAGTCCTATACTTGTTATTTGGGTGGCAAGACTTTGGGGTCGCCAGATTCGCTTCAAGGGCAAAATTAAAAATTAGGAATGCAAAGCCAGGCCTTGCCTGCAAACACCCTGATGCTATGTTCACCCTATACCAAATAACTCTTGCACAGGCACACGGATCATAGAGCTTCTGTTTGTGATTACTTTAACTGAGCGAAGTATCAGTTTTTGGTGCAGTGAGAACAGGTATTTGGACCGAACCGGATGTAAAAAAGGGACAACAAGGTCTGGAAGTTAGAGAGTGAACTAAACCCTCTCAGCCAACCACTTCGGCACAATGCTCAACTCGGACGACTTGCTCTAGTCCAAATACGTTGCTGTTCATACAATACCAGATAGCTTTTCGTGTCGACACTAAAAGCTATGCGGTATAGCGCGGTCAGTGCGACAAACGCAGACTGCAAACTTGCAGACTCGCAAGTAAACATTGTTCTAAAATGCTCAAATCCTAGCCCTAACCCTCACCTTGATTAACCCTAAAACAAGCCCTAAAGGTTAGGGTAGGGTTAGAGCATTGTAGAACAATGTTTACCTGTCCGTCTGCAAGTCTGTAGTCTGCGCTTGTCTTACACTGGGTATAGCGTAGCCTTAGATATTTTAGTTGTCGCTTCTCGCTGCCCGAAAACAAGAACAACTGGGTTCGCACGATAGGGCAAGGCACTCTGATAAACTTCTTTGTCAACGATAAGAACTGAGACAAGTCATTTTGTCAGGAAATTAAAAAGCAAATTTGTAAAATCGCAGGAGAAGACCTCGTGAATTTCAATGGGGCAACCAACTATATCTATGGAGATAGACTTAGTTGTACGCAGCTTTTCGAATATATTCAGCCGCAGTTTTGTTACTTTCATAATCTTCATGTACAACAATATCCAATTTTGGGGTTATTTCAAAACAATAAACCAGTCTAAAATAAGCATGAAAAGGGTAGATCCCTGATACAGTTAAACTGAAGTGTTAATGAAAATAGTCCATGCAGGTTGAACGTGTCTATGCTTAATTCAAACAATTTGTACCCTTACGTTGACCATTTTGAGAGAAATAAATATGCCACAATGACATCTCTAATACATGTAACTTACTACTAATACTGCTACTGCTACTGGTGGTGCTACGACTACGACTACCAATCAGTACTACTACTAATGATGATGATTGGATATGACGACAAGGATGATGATGATTATTATTATGGACATGAGGATGATGATGACGATGATGATTGAAATTTAGGGAAAATTCGTTTTCTTTTTATAATAGGGGAGGGGTATGAACTATGGGATGGAATTCCCCTTCCTCCCTTATGTCTGTCAGGTAAGTTGCGTGAAGGAGCAAAAAGGGGCAGGTGGAACTCGAAAAACGGCTCCAGTCTCCTTCCCTTTTGCTGTTCCCTTCCCTGTTTTAAAATTCAGTTTTGTCAGGGCATCCTGGACACTCATTAATTCAAGATAATTGCTGCAAAACCTCGTTTCCTGCAGCTCGCTCGAACTTCTCACGAAACGATTAGCCTGCCACGCCCCAAAGTACTAGAAACCTGGTCCCAGTTGTTGAAAAGGTGGATAGCGCTATCCACCGGATAAATCTCTATCTACTGGACACCGCAATAGGTTTCCTTAATATTTATCCACTGGATAGTGGTTTATCCTGCGGAGAGCACTATCCAGCTGTTGAACTTATTTGTTTTCAGTGGAACCCCGCTCTACGGACACCCGCTTAATAACGACACCCGTATATAAGGACAGTTTCGTTAGTTCCGACGAAAAGCTCATGAATGCTTTCTAATATTACCCCGGTTAATACCAACACCGGTTGCATGAGACTGACAACGGACACTTTTGTGTCCCGTGTCACAAACTCGTATCGTCAATCCCTTTTGATGGACGTTGGTTACCTACGTTCACTTGTACTATCTTCCTAGTGACAATTATGTACATGTGTACTCTTTTCAAGTAATGATGGATTTCTATGGAATAATACGATTCTGTTGCATACAAAACAAAGCAGTACAAACAAACAAAAACAACAAAACTAGTACCAAGTAGCATAACATGTATAATTTTGATAGGCCCTCCGGCCTTCTTCCTGTGTTTTCCTCTAACTACATGGCGGACTATAGAGGAAGGGTAGCTTGCAAACTTAACCGAACGCAGGGTTGTCGGAACAGCAACAAGAAGATTTATTCCGAATATGAACTTAGTTTCCACCTAGTGAAACTAACTCGATGAACTTACACGGCCTCCGCCCATAGGCGTACGGGCAATTTTTTGCCAGGGGGGGCGATAATCCATTTGCCCAAAAAATTCTTGCCAGTTGGCCAAATTTTTACAAAATAGTCGAAAGGAAACTAGGGCAATGCAACAAAATAGGCCGTACTGGCATATGAAAGTGGCTCGATACAGTTTTTCAGAGTCAATACCTGCCAAGTTTGAGCATAGACTACGTCGCCACAAACAAGTATTTGGAAAAAATTGCCACCACAGTTGTATAAGATAAAGAGGGAAATTTGTCATGATCAGGATTGCAATGACATCGGAGCTGTCATAGCAACGAAATGACGTCATTACCTATTATACTTGCAGGAATATTTCTCACTGGGAACTGTTCTTACAAAATCGTTCAGGGGAGCTTTTCCGTCCAATAGTGGCCTCGATGTTCGTGAAGTTAAAACGGAACTATAAGAGCGTTATCGAGATATTTTGGGATGAAGTTTTTATTGCTAGAAATAAGGTAAAAAAGGAAAATCTTGATGTTTAGTCATAATCTGAAGAAAACGGAGCGCTTTTGACCTTCAATTTCACCTCATAGTAGTTTCAATCTTTTTAAAAACGTGGATAAAAGATCATGGAGATAGCTCCTGCCAATTGCTATAAGGAAGGATTTGATTAGTGCTCGATCTTGTTAGGGGTTTTGTAAACATTTCGGTCTACTTAAGCAAATTAGTGAATAATTTTTAAACCGCTCGATAGATTTTTTTAAAAAAATTATGATTTTTCTCGTAATTCAAACTGAGAATTAGTCAGCCACTTCACTTTCAGACCCATTGCTGATGCGTGTTCTGCCACACACTGTTCTAGGAGCGGAGATGATTCCAGAAAGTTATGCGGAAGTTTATTCTAATCAATTCACGACTGGAAATAGCCCACTCCAGCTAGTACAGTGAAGTACAGTGCCTAACAAAAAAAAATCAGCATACGATACCCTTCCCTTATAGCTAGAAACTCATCACGTGCTAGGCAACCACTGTCTCGTGTGAACGTAACTGAATTATTACGCCGACGTCTGGTTAAAATAGAAAATATTTATCTCTTCAAAATAATAATAATAATAATAATAATAATAATAATAATAATAATAATAATAATAATAAACATGGAAACGTCTTTAAAAACTGGCTTTGCCCAAATTTTCTCTTGCTGCCCAAAAAATCTGAGTTGCCCAAACTTTGGGGGAGCTGCAGCCCCCCTCGCCCCCCCGGCCCGTACGCCTATGCCTCCGCCAACTTGAATAGACTCTGCTTCCGTCACACTTGTCTAAACGCGACAAACGTCAAACGCTTTTCGTTTGTGAAACTTTGCTTTCACTCGTATTGATGGTTTTCACGGTGACGTCATCAAATTGTAAAGTCAAAATAGCTAGGTTTTACGAATTCTCATTCACACAAGGTTGAAGATAAACAAAAAATGAATCCTTGTACAAGTTTCCAGTCCCATAGCATCTTTCATTTCGAAAATACAGCAATCTGAACTTCCGAGTTTTCACATTGCGTGATAGCCTCCCCGCAGACGTCCTTTGGGGTTCGTTCGTCACGCATTCATGGGGAAGAAATGAATGCGTGACGAACGAACCCCAGAGGACGTCTGACGGAAGGCTAATAGCCTGCGTGGCAGGCGATTGAAAGGGAAGGGAAAGGGAGTTTTAGGTGCGAGAGAAACGCGAGGGGCTAAGTGCGTGATCGACACAACATAGGAATGCTATCTCGTTGAAAGAAAGCCTCTACTCGTGATTTTCAGCAGTTTAACCATTTTTAGTGTTAGAAGATGTGTTTATGCCCACGTAAGCTAGCTCGCGATTGAAAAGAAAGAGCTTTTATGGAAGAAGTGAACTCCAGATGTTTTCGTTGATTTCCGGCGGCCATATTTTTGCACCAAAACTGTACACAAATGATCTTATTGGCGTCTCCATACAAAGCTCTACAATGGTGCGTGAAATGTTTCGGCAAATAACTCGGAAACTGTGAGCCACATAGACCTGAGACTTGGACAAATTGTTTATATATCATCTTGTAACATTTCATTTTCTTGGCTTCTTCCTTTAGACGGTTTCCAATTTACTTTTTTTGTGCCGTATTATTGCGTGACAGTGAAAACGAGGCTTTCTCAATAAAGTTCTAGAACTTTCCCAAATAGTCTAATTTCCGTATAGAAACATTACGAAATATACCGCTTTAGAAACGTTTTCACAAGATCCTAAAACAAGGCAAACTCAGTTGACAAACTGGCTTCTAGAATGTCACGCTAGTCACGCAAAACAATTTACAAGTTTCACCACCTTGGCGGTTTCCTCTGCAGACTCTGCAGTCGTTGTTCCCACGTGTACCTTTTTTCCGCTTTGTTTCCTTTAGTCTTTATACCAATAAAACATGTGTCCGTGGACTTCTCTTTCTGAGAGCTCACTTTGTATGGATTTGTCGGTACTGTCCTTTTTTTAAGTTTTTCTGTCATCGACAGACATTTGTCCCCAGATTCCTCGCTACTGTTCTATGCACTGGGGCTCAAATAAAAATGGCGTCAACCGCGAAGGCGAGGGTGTTGCTATCCACCAGCTGATTACTGCCTTTCAGACGACAAAGGAGATAAACACCGAAAGGAAGTCGCAGTGGAGTAGCTGATAGCTGAAATGTAAGTATTCCTCATAGGAAAATTACCTAAAGAAGGAGATACTATTGCACTTTTGGTTCTGAAGCCGCTAAACGATTCGTCTTGGATGCCCGGGCCTGGATGTGGTGTATTTAACAACATTCGCTCTTGTTTCCGGTCTAAGTGTCAAAGACGAATGTTATTATATGCTGGCTACCAATTGATAAAAAAAAAACGCAACACTTCGTTTTGACGTCAATAACAAGATGAGAGAGCTTCTCTTCCAATGCAATCTTCGACTTCCGCCTTTAATAACTGGCATTCTGTTAAACCAGGGGCTGTAGTAGTCGGAAGAGGCCTAGATCAACCGTATTAAGTCTATTTAACAAAATAGTTATCAAGCCTTTCAAAATACGTTGTTTCGCCTTCCTGTTCATGAAATGGAGAAAACAGGGCTACATTTCTTCTGTAATATATGTCGATTGTAGTATCACATGCCTGGGTTGATCAGATTGAGTCAGGGGGGAGGGCCGGGAACTGCTAAAGTTAACTGTATGGATACTTGCTGTTCAGGGATGGAGTTTTGACGTAAGCAGTACAATTTTTGTAGAAGTGGTTTGCAAAGTGCAACTGAACATTGTGTTTAATGGGCTGAGGGTTCCAGACTTCCAAAGGCACAGAAATGGAAATTCATGTTTCCCTTGCATTAAGAGCCCGGTCAGACCAGGGTAGACCGGGGTCAAAGCCTGGTGCAAAAGCCTCGCTTAGCCCAGCCATAGGCTGGGCTGGCCAAGCGATAAAAATGCGGGGAAGCCGCGGCTAGCCCGGCCAATACCATAACAGAGCGAATGGCCTGGCTTGTCCAGGCTAGCTGGGGAAACCGTGGCCAGCCCGGCCAATACCATAACAATAATATTGATAATATTAATGATAATAATAATAATAATATTGTGCTTTACAATGACAAGTAAACCATGGCTGAAGTTTAAAAGCCAACTTGACAATAGCCTTTTTGTTATTGAAAGGTGAACAGGTAGGGAAGGGGGGCAAAAGAATCTTTAAAATCTCACAATGAAGTCGAGCTGTAGTTTTAATTATATCTTCTGCATAAATTTTTAATTGATCAATTCTATGATCGGTTGGTATCTTGCCCCATTAGTTTGATTTGACTGGTGTATAATAAAATACATATGATATCTATCAGTGTGCAAAGAAAGTTGTGTCCGATAGCCCGGGCAAGTGGATATTGCTATTGGGCTAGTGAATTCTGTTCTTAACTTGACCGACGGGCAAGTGCTGTTTTTGGGGAAATTCAAATTACAGAAGGATAATTGTAATCAATCCTGCCAATCGAAAAGGGTTTTGGGGATAGTTGAAATGTCCTTGTGTGCTAGTATACGTGCTCACACCCAAATGGCAGGCTGTAAAACTGACTTTCTTTACACCATGTCTGTATTTTTAAAAAAAGTAAAGCTCAGTGAAAAAGTGTTGAAGTGTGACCGGATGTGTTTGTGAAAAAAAAAAAAAAAGAAGACAGTGAAAAATAAATTCATAAATTCACTGTGAAGTTTATGCATTGAAATACAAGGTTTAGAGGCAAATGAGATTTCATTTCTGCTCTCCACTTAAAGGAGCCTAAAACAAAGCTAATAACTAACTTAAATAAATCCAAAAACTGTCTGGGGCTGCTAAAGGCATGGGAATGTAAACAAACAGCATTTGTTTGGCAGTTGAGACAAAGTTTTGTGAATGCGACAGGTTTTTGCTAAGTAAAGGTCAAGCATATCAGAGTGTCCACTAAGAGTTACGAGCTTCCATGATACAATCAGTAACTTCTGAATTCAACATATTAAATTATTGTTTTGGAATTTTCAAAACGTGTTCTTTGACAATGCAAACTGAAGGAGCCATGAACTTGATGTAATAAATATATTTTGGAACAAGTAATCCCTATGTCTGCTTATATAAGTGGGAAGCATGTGGCTCCTTAATTAAGGGTTGCCCCAGCCTAACTGCAAGCTCAGATTTGTTTTTGACCCCCATGTAGTCCCCAGTTCAACTCTTTGGCTAATTGCTTGTGTATGCAGCCAACTCTGGTTTGTCTCTGCTGGTGGCTAGTTGGGAGTCTAATGTTTGTTTAATTGTGGGTGGGTGCTCTATCCACTTGAGCTGCGGAGAACTCATGGAGAGCAAGGCCATTATACTAGGCTCATATTTGACACGCGTTCTGCATACTGAAAGGATCAGAAATGTCGATGTCGCACTGTGTGGTGAAAGAATGAAAGATGGTAAATTTTGACCTCAGTGAAACAAATGTGAAAATTAATTAATCAGCATGTCACCAGCCTGGGACAAAGAAAAAATCTGTGAGTCCCAAACAAGATTCGAACCAGATGACCTCCAAAACACCGGGCGGACGCTCTATCCACTTGAGCTATGGAGTTCTAGAGTGCCCGCCTGGTGTTTAGGAGGTCCTAGGTTCGAATCCTTTTAGACACTCAGATTTTTTCTTTGTTCCATGTTCGCGACATGGCGATTAATTAATTTTCATATTTGTTTCACCGAGCTTAAGTGGACATAGTTCACCCCATCCCCTCCCCCACTGTGTAGTTACATTTTTTTGTAGAAATGGCACACATAGTCATTTTGTAGCCATGAACAAAGTGATCTACACTTTCATCTGAGCTCCTTTACTAGAGTTGCTTACGCAACGAAGCAACTGTAATGGTAGAACCAGAAAGCAGTAAAATTATAGATGGGACTATTTTGACAGAGTGACAACATTTTTTAATGTAAGAGAATACTAATGATTATTGTTTTGGATAAAAGCCCCATCTGACTTTACAACTTATTTAACAGAACGCACTATTAAAGTGTTTAATATCCTTCTTTACATTACCAGTAACCACTAGCAGGTTCTTTTTCTTGTAGTGAAGTGGAATACCATTTCATCCAAAACGTCAACCATTTACATTAAAAAAGCTGTCACTTCCTTTTAAATTATTTTCTAGTTGATGACCTAACATACCAGTAACAGTGACATGACAAAATTATCACTGTATATTTATTGAAATATTACCGCAGACATTTGAAATTATTTATTACATATTTTATTCAGCTTCACAGCCTCTTGTTTTTTTAGTTCTAACCCGGTAAACCTTTGGACAAAATTAATGACCATTCACTATTCCTGTCCATGACAGCATGCTGATACCAGACAGCTATTGTACAAGCGTAGCCCAGCCACAAATGCATCAATAGAATTCTTTATTGGAGCAACCCAAAATCTAGTTAATTTATGTTGCTTTATTTATAAGCTGAGCCACTGAAATATCAAAACACTGGGCTTACTCTAAGGTTGTCTTTAATATCTTTTACATGAGAGCCTTTTTCTGTTGATACTGAGTTACAAGTTCTTATTAATAAAGTTAATGTTTGTTTGATTTTTGCTTTCAGTCATCGCTCATGGCAGCCTCTTCTGATCAAGAATTGGAATTTGAAAAACAGAAATCAAGTAGCGACACAGTATGTTAAGCCTCTCATTACTCAAAAGCTGTCAATTATTCTTCTTTTTATACCATATCTTTAGTAACCACTGACACAAGATTTAGAAGAAATGTTTACGTAATAGTTTTTTTCCCTTTAAAGCTCTTCAAACTTAGACAATCAAAAAACACAGTATTTCTTTTGTTCTTGTTTGAACCTAAGAGCCTAGACTCAGAGTAGGCATAATAGGGGCATAGGGTGGTAAATAGGAGACTTAATTTGATCTGGCTGGTCATCATGTTCGACCATAGGTAGTTAGGATTTTGTTGGACATAGGATAGTTAATATACACTTAAGCTAGGTCCACGACTACAAGATATTTGAAACCATTGTTTCAAAATTTAAGACTTTGAGACGGTCATGATTCCGAGAGAGCCCAAGAAACTGAGAATCTTCATTACTGGATAAACCAGTCCATTCGACAGGTATAATACGGTGCAGTGAAACTTCTCAGCAAACAATAAATTATATGAAAGTAATAAAATTTGGGCTCGGTTAGCTTTTGATGGTGATTTAATCTTTTTTTTGCAGGCTAAAAATTGTCCTCAGATCACCACCTCAAGCACTTCACTTGTAGAACCAGGTCAAAGTGACGGTTTTTCTGCCAGGTCATTACTAAAAGTTACCCTTCTGGGAAGTGAGTGGAATTCCTCAGAAGGTGGCTTGTCAACATTAAATAGAGAACTTGCAATTTACCTTTCAAAACATCCCAAAGTGGAAGTGACATTGTTAGTTCCTGAAGGAGTTTGTAAAGATGATGAGAAAAGAGAAGCTGGAAACTATGGAATTACCATCGTTGAAGCAAAGGAACAAACAGGGTATGATCCCCTTGACTGGTTAATATCCCCACCTAATGACCTCAGCATCGATGTCATCATTGGGCATGGTAAGAAACTTGGCCGGCAAGTCCAAGGAATACGAAATTGTGCGGAATTTAAGAATTGTAAGTGGGTACAAGTTGTACATATTGCACCAGAAGACCTTGGCAAATTCAAAGACTACACTAATCCTACTTCTAAAGGTGAACGAAAACATCAAGTTGAAGTTGACCTTTGTAAGCGTGCTGATCTTGTCATGCCTGTTGGACCCCGACTGACAGAATTTTACTCTTCAAATTTACAACGCTACAAAAAGGAAATGGACGTGCTTTCATTCACTCCAGGAGCTTTTTGAAAGGGAATTTGGGGATCTGGAACAAGATGTCAATAGCACTGCAGATTTTAAAGTGTTAATTTTTGGTCGTGGTGATAAGGAAGATTTTGAGCTTAAAGGGTACAACATTGCTGCCAAAGCATTTACTGACCCACGGTTGGAAAAGAAACCTTATCAACTGATCTTTGTTGGTGCCCCTAAAGAAAAGGAAGAGCAAGAAGAGTTTAAAGAAAGACTTTTGCAATGTGGTATTGCTAAAGAACAGCTTATTGTTAGAACATTTATAGAAAACAGGGATAGTCTAAAGGATTTACTGTGCGAAGTTGATCTTGCCATCATGCCATCAAAATCAGAGGGATTTGGTCTTGTCGCACTTGAAGCCTTATCTGCAGGCCTCCCCATTCTTGTGGGCAGTAGGTCAGGATTTGCCAAAGCATTAGAAAATATTCCTCATGGTTATTCATGCATCGTGTATTCAGATGATCCTGCAGAGTGGGCAAAATCAATTGAAGGTGTTCGTATCAGACATGGAATGCGGCTTAGAGAGATCAAAGCTCTGAAAGTATCCTATGGAGAGATGTACAGTTGGAGAAAGCAATGTGACGCCCTTGTGGAGAGGATGTGGAAAATGATCCATGGTATGTTTGAACTATATACTGGCTTATGTTTGAACATTTTTAGTACATGTAATAATGGTAAGATAATTTAGTTCGTTGTATCTTATCGTGGCACAGGATGGTCTATACTTGTCTTAATAGACTCCCCAGGTCTTGGACGCAGGTCACCGAAAAGTGCTTTGGGTAATTGAGGTACATTTACTACCCTTTGTTGAGCTCAATAGTTATCGCTAAATGTTTTAAATGAGAAGTAAAGCACGTTGGAATAAGCTGTTCAGAACACTATCTGCATTCAACATTAGCGACAACAATATAGACGAAATAATTAGCTATAAATTTCTCAAGAATTTCCTACAAAAAGTTATTCTTGATTTGATGTGTATCTTAAAAGCCTATTTTTTCATTAAACATCATCCTGATGTAATAATTTTAATAAAATTGCCGTCATAACAAAAGTTTGTTTTCACAGGATCCTCTGCGAAAGAAAACAAAAACCGAAGAACAGACGCCCCTGCTGATGACGATCGGCTTGTTTCCGAAACGTCCCCTGGTAGTAACTCTGAAAAGAAAGTTGATGCTGCATCAGGAAGTCAAACCGAAATGTCCACAAATACAGACTCTCCGTCTCAAAATAGCCGTAAGGGTAAACTTTCAGGATCTTCCCGTGACCCAGGTATGAATTTTTTTCTCTCTACTGCTCACTCACATGACTCTGAAGGGTGGGATGATTTGTTAGATTTCACAGAGGTGCTTTTTTGATAGAGATGTTTCAGTACTGTCTGATCTTTTTTCGCCGAATTTTAGCGTTTTATTAGACCCGAACGGGATTCTGCCGGAATTTCGATAATACGTTCCTCAGTGGTGTCGTTTTTATTTCCAGACATCGTTATCAACCACAGTTACCAGGACCTGAGTAATGAACAGGAAGAAATAGTTCATGACTTTCTATCACGTCACATACAAGTGTACATCAAGCATCGCAAGGTTGCAAGAGCTGATGAAGTGTCTGCTCTGATCAAACATATAGAAAAGACGTACGACTTGGCCTTGGAATCTGTTGGTGTGGGCTCTCTGGAGATGAAATTTCGATGCCCCACCCTAGAGAGCCTTGAGCATTTGTGGAGTGACTATCAGTCAGGTTACCTTAATGAGATTGCTGAGAAATATCTTGTGACCAGTGACATAAAGGAGAAGCTGAACTTGGAGACTGTCAGGTTAAAGACAACAATTGAAGATGAAAACTACCGGAATTGCAGGAAGATCCTAATGGAAAAGTCATGTAAGTTTGAGAGTTCTCTTACAGTTTATGTTACAGATTTATCTACAACAAATTGATTAGTACCATTTACTTACAGTGGGTCAAAATTGACGGGGGCACATTCTTCACTGAACGTCCTGTTTAAGATCCATCCAGGACAGGATTGTTCAAAGCTGGGCAAGGATAACCCAGGCTTAGTGCGAAATTTGAACTCGGATGTAAAAGCTTAAAAAACGAGTTCATTCGTATTCTTTTCGTCTACAATTTGATGATTGGATACGCTAAAATTAATAGCAAAAATTATCCGACGAAATGCTTTTGAACGAAAGAAAAAGAAACTCGGTTTAAAATTTAACCCCGGGTTAGCCGCCGCTAATCAGCGTTCAAACAAGTTGGCCAGGGTGAAAAGAGACAGGGTTTGGTGGCCGTTGTGGAGTGTTTTATAATTGAGGGTATAGCATTTGAGTGAGAATGAGGCTGATGCTTCTGAGATTACATGTGATTACAATTCTGAAACAGCTGGTACTTATTACCTGAAAGATTGAAAATACGTGACGAAAGTATGGTAGACTAGAGGTAATCATTGATTACGGATCCGCGTTCGTCACTCACGGAAACGAAATTCGGCAGTCGCCCGCGATACCTCGAAAATGTGTGGCTTTGTAGCACAGGAACACCAAGATTAGGATGCGTTTTGACGAACGGAATAACTAGCTTTATCTCATTGTGTGTTAACAGTGTTAACAAGCAGCAGTGGCTTTTCACCGTCAACTGAATCAGATCAAGGAAGAGAGGACTCTTTACGGATCGTCACAAGCTCAGGTGTTCTTAAGGTGGGATAGTGTTTATTGTTAATTAATAACGCATTAATGAATAGCAACTGAGGTCAAGTAAATCGGAAAACCCTTGTTTTAAATACTCTGAAGTCTCTTCTTACTTTTCGAGAATTTTTGAATTTTAAACGGTTCTGACGCTAAAACGTATTTCATGTTTTAGTGCTGCCCGTGATTGTACATTGAGGTGTATGAGGGTCTCAATGGGGTGGTGGCTTTTACGGTTATAGGCTAACATTTTTGGCTCTATTACGGCTGTCGGTTAATTTATTTCAGTTACGGTTAACAAAAAAGTTAAAAATTAATTTCTTTTGTTTCAAATAGATAAATATCAATAGACCTGTGTTTTTTGAGTCTTTAAGCAAAATCATCTCGAGATGAAACAAGTTATTCTTTTGAAGCATTTTAACATTTGATAGATCATACTTATAAGTATTCCACTTCTAATATTATTTTACCCATAGAAATGTCAACGGTTACTTTTACAAATCTAGGGAACAGTTTCTTTTACGGTTAACCTTTTTTTTACCCTATTTACGACTAACGGTTAACATTTTTCAACTTTTACGGCTATCGACTAAGTTTTTGGACGTTTTACGCCAATCGGTTAACCCCATTAAGACTCTCGTATAGTGCTTGCATCTTCTAAATTTGGTCAGCGCCAGCTGGTTTTGAAGAATTAGTCAGGAGATTAAAGCCACTAAAAAACGGCGAAATGTTTTGAAAGAATAACAAATTTGTTTAATCATGTTCCTAGGATAAGAAGCAGGTCCTGACCCATATAGAGAGAGCTGAGAAAGCAAAAGTAAGTTGAATGGCATATGTATTGTAGTGTGCGCACGTTGTCCATTTAATCAAGGGAAAACAAATATGAAAACTTTAATCAATGAAAGATTTCGAAATTCCATAGTATTAACGACTTTCTCATAGCACAGCCTTAATTATGAGTGGGAACATTGTCATTTTACTGTATACAACAGCGAACGCCCTCACAGTAGGACGACATGAGGGGACTTTTCACAGGATTGATGTGTTGTTAGTGTCTCCAGTATTTGTAGGTTCGCCCACGAAAATTTAAACAGTGGCCATATTGTTCGAGGTGACACTTGATCTAGAAATTCGTGTCCGCCATCAATCCACGTGCTGCGCGCGCATGAACTTACAAACCTCGGCTTTGCAGAAATGTTGAACTTCCCCGCGCGTAAAAGCCATTATTATACATTGTACCCACTATCTGTCTTCTCATTAGCTAAGAGCCTTCAGCAAATTTTGGTAATCAGCGCAACCTAGTTAATCTGTAGGTTGTGCGCGCAATGCATGATTTTCAATAACAGTATCAATTCAATCAATCAATTCTTATATTCAGATGATCCTGCAGAATGGGCAAAATCCCGTAGAGTATTTGTTGTCAATTTATGCTCGATCTTTAGGCTATAGTTCCTCAATTTGTAAAGCCAAAATAAAAAATTCAGATATGCAAAGAAAACAAAAAGCCACCGTAGTAAGCACGCCTTGGTATTGACGAACTTTTTTTTCTGTATGCTAAAACAAAAATTTATCATGGTTGTCTACTTTTTCGTGATCGTTTTTGCCATGGTTAGTAAAGCCAACGCAAAAACAATCAGATAATATTTTCCCTATTTTTTCACATATTTCCAACACTGAGAATTTGCTTATTCTTATTCTTGATGGTGCCAAAAGGATTAATTGAAATAAAAATAAAAATGTGGGGTCACCGCGCTTGGTTTTGAATCAGGGAAGTGAAGTTAAAATTACTTCACAATATCCTGTGCGCTAAAAGTTTATTTTTTAAAATGAAAAAAGAAGACTCTCCATGATGCCCCTTTTGACCAATGAATCACACCATCGCACATCTTTTCACTGAATGCACATAAGCCATTTCGTTCTGGAAAGAGTTTCTAGATTAGGCCTCGCGCATGGTGAACTCAAGAATATCTCTCTCAAAAAACGAAATTATGTTTGGTATTATTCATCAAATTCTACATTCTGCTAGCCCTCAATCATTTAGTTATTATAGGAAAGTATTTCCTCTATGTAAATGCTCTTAACAGCAAAGATTATGTCTTGCATAAAAGATTAAAGTAGAAAAATACATTTCGTGTACGTCCGGCCGTGAAAAGGAATTAAGACGTAATTGTCTACTTTCTATTCTGTGTTTAAAACTCCTAATTTTCCCCTTAATTGCGTAACCATGAAATTTTTGTATTATTATTAATTGTTATTATCATGTAAGATTAGGGTTAATGTACGTTTTGTTGTAATTATATAATGGCTGGCAGTAATTATTGTATGCCTTTCTTTTTTCTTTCTTTTGTTTGCAAACGACATACTGTTAGTTTAATGTGTAAGCTGTTTCTCACTGTTAGCATTACGTATGTAGCTATAATTTCTCTTTATCGCAATATTTTGTATTGTTAGTGTAATTTGAGTAAGATTTGAATAAAGTGAAAAAAAATATGGAGACAATATACCATCGTATCAATGGTATGTTGCTCGCGTTTTCTAAATTTGGTCAGTGCCAGCTGGTTATGAAGAATTAGCCAGGATATTAAGGCCAGTAAAGTAAAAACGGTGAATTATTTTAAATGAATAACAAATTTGTTTAATCATCCTAGGACAAGAAGCAGGTCCTGAGCCATATGGAGAGAGCTGAGAAGACAAAAGTAAGTTCCGTGGTATATTTAACAATTATTCCATGAGCACGCGTTGGACATGAGGTGGTAAATAGCCAACGAGGCGCGTAGCGCCGAGTTGGCTATAACTATCTCATATCCAACAAGCGCGAATGGAATTATTGTTGTATTAAATTTTTTAAAACTCCAAACGTCTGGTTATTACAAATGAGTTTTAGTAAATTTCATTTTAAATATTACAAAACGACCGGATATTAATGCAGCTTCCGGTAAACTAAGGGATAATCAGATGACATGCGCGCCGTTTGCGAATTTAGTTGAAGGAAAATCTGAAAGTGAAGGACGCTGTGCTTAAATTATTCTCGACAAGTACTGTTTTCGCTTTCCCCCGTTGTGACTGTGAAATTTGACGCTGGATACGTCGACCTGATTGCTCTTCAATTTCGTTTCCTTCCTCCACTGAATCGGAGCTGCACAAAGACCTAGCTTCATTAATCAATCAATTTGATGTTGTTGTTGTTGTTCAATAGAAAGCAGTTCGTTTTATAGACTACGAGTAGTCCCCCATTTTTCCTCAGGGAGAGTAGAGCGAACGAAACGCGAGCGCGCGTGAAAATCACCCCACGCGAGAAAAGGCGACACGCGGCGGGCAGAGAGAAAAATTTTTCTCTCTCCCCACCGCGAGTCGCCTTTTCTCGCGTGGGGTGATTTTCACGCGCGCTCGCGTTTCGTTCGCTCTACTCTCCCTGAGGAAAAATGGGGGACTACTCGTAGTCTATTCGTTGTAGGATTTACTTGAGGCCTGTTGGTCCATTATGGACTTGCGAAAGTGTTAAGAGGTGTAAAAGCTTTTCAAACACGCAGAAAATCTGCTAATGGTTTTGAAAACTTAAGGTAAACTTTGTTGTTGTTGTTACACAATTCAGCTCGACCTACGGAAGAATTAGGCTTATAACTTCTTTAAATTTGTGAGGAAACTTCGGAGTACCATTAAATAATTTCAAACCAAAGTTTGTAGCTTTTTTGTCGCTGCCGGTATGGCATTTTTTGTCTTTTTCTGTTGTTTTGTCGGTAGAAAGCTCGCGAAATCTACTTTTTTGTGTCGCTTTGCCCGAGAGAAACTTTGTTGTTTTCTATATAAGATCAAACTAAGGTATATCAGCTGCTAACAGAGGTTAAGTGAACCAATCAGAATGCTAGAAGTGCATTATCTGAGGTTGAAAATTTAATAAAATAATATATTTTAGTGTGCTCTTGTTGTCCATTCACTGAAGGGAAAACAATTAGGACGCCGGGAGGACTTTTTACAGTATTGTAGAGTTACAGATACCCTATTTATTCGAATAAGCGCCCAGCCTCGAATAAGCGCCCACACCCAACCCCACCCCGTTTCACTCCCACTCAAACTCCACTAAGCACCCATCCCCACCCCAACCTCTTCCCCTTCCCAGAGACTTCCCCGAAGAAAGGGCCAGTTATTTAAACGGAGTTTAACCAGTGTTTACCAAAACCGCGTTCTAAGTCACTTTCAGCTTGTCCAACGCTTTTATATAAACACCATTTGTCGTGAACAGTTTAACTAGAGCATATAGTGTAGACTAGAAAAGTATTTACCTTCTAAAATGAACCAAGAGATTATAGCCAACCCGTAGTTTTCTTCAGAGGAATTTACAGAAACCTTGCTTTGTCACATCTTCGCGTTTTGTTATTAACATTTTTTGTTTTGTTGCAAAATAAACATACTACACTTGCTGAAAATGTTAAAAATTTAATAAGCGCCCGGCCTGGAATAAGCGCCCACCTCGAATAAGCGCCCACTCTCAAGATCCAAAAACTTAATAAGCGCCCAGGGCGGTTAATTGAATAAATACGGTAGTTAAGTTATCGGAATGGATAGGAATTGGCTAGTGAATGCTGGCAGCAATACGAGTCCACGCTCAAGCCACGTGCTGCGCGGGCGCGAATTTATAAACCTCGGCTTTGCAGGGTCCGTGTGAAAAGCCATTACTTTACGTTGATTGTTTTGTCATCACAAGGCATAGAGACGATAAACGAAAATCATAAAAAACAGTACCTCGTTTTCTCTTATTTAGGTTTCTTCTCTTGACATGATTTAGGTCTGGAAGAGGCGGTTATCAGCTATAACTCAAGTATTGTAAGGGGCAGTTTATATGATACCGGGATGACTTTCATTCCGGAATAAGTTCGTTCCAGAAAGAACATCGTACTGCATTCACATGTTAAAATCGAAAGTCTCAGCCTATGGCGACAATCTCGCCATGTTTTCGCACTAGATAAGATACGCATCCGTCACTCGCCCCAGACTACACGATTGCGAGTTTCAATGCGGAACGAACTGTGTTTATAGTTTAAATGATTTCAGTTTACATCACACCCAAACGAAAGTTTCATTCGGATTGAAGACCGGACTGAACTCATTCCGGAATGACTTGTACGGGAGCAAAATTTCTTCTCGGTATCTTCTGAACAGATGCAAAGAAAGATACGAAGATGGCATGAACTTGTTGCGGAATTAAAGTTATTCCGGTTTCATGTAAACAGCCCCTAAGGTGTGTAGACTGATGGATCTTTATTTACCTTCTAAATAAATACAGGCGTCAAGAGGCCCTCTACACAAGGCTGCTATTAGTGGACAATGCGAGACGGTCAAAATGCTTCTTGACAATGGTGAAGATGTGGATCAAAGAGATCAGGTTTTATTTTAGTGTTTTTGGTTATCAGGTAAAGAATTTGATGGGTAATATGGACCTTAAGGTGGCTCGACTGGATTTTTTGGGGTTGATACCTCCCAACTTTGAGCATTAACTACGTCGGCATGAGTAAAGATATGGAAAAAAGGTTACCACAACTGTATTATATAAAGATGAAAATTTCTTATGATCTGGGTTTTCTTGCAATCGGAGTCGCCATGGCAACGTAATGACGCCATTACGTTTTTCATTTATCTTTGTGTTTCTCTGTTCCAGGAGTTTTTTGAAGAAATCGCTTTAGGGAGTATGTACCTGCTATAATTGCCGCCATTATGGCATAGTTTAAACAAATTCTATGAGAGCGTTTTCGAAATATTTTGAAATGTAGTTTTAAGAATAATAAAAACGGTGAAATAGCATGCTAGCCACACAATTCGCTAATATTTTAAGAAAATGATAAGCTTTGGGAACGAGGCGTCATCTCATAGTGGTTTGATTCCATTGAAAACTGCATACAAAAAAAGAGGGGAATTGCTCTGGGCGATCGCGAGTAAGAAGAATTTTATTAACTTGCACTCAGCTGCTTTTGATACAGTTTTGGACGTAATTTGGTCCAAGCCTAAAAATTTCGCATTTTCCAAAAACCGCTCGATAAATTTTTTTTATAAATTCGACAATCCCGAGATCAATTGTCAAGAAATATTCCCTGCAAGTTTCAAGAACATTGAAAATAGGGAAGGCTTTTAAATAGGGCCTCAAATATGACCAATTTTCCCCCCAGATTTTGTGTTTACAAGTTAGCGTCCTTATTATTCACTGGCATTGTTTTCAAGTTTCATATGCACGTGCACAACTAGCAAAAGATATAAATTTGCATCAAAAAGAACTCTCGATTATTTTCCGAAGAAATATCCGGAATATTCTAATAATTGGCTTGACGTCACAGATAGCAGTGAGAGCCGAAACGGTGAACGTCACGGCTCATCGTCTAGGATGGAATATTTAATTATCTTACTCGGGTTATAACATCACAGAAACTCTCACAAAGAGTTGCTCTGATGTTATAATGTATCATTAATCTCTTTACCCGGTAATTAGCATATCCCGGAGATTTAACCGAGGGTCCTTTTTGATGCAAATTCTATCTTTTTGCTAAATGTGCACGTGTATATGAAACTTGAAAACAATGCCAGTGAATAATGAGGACGCTCACTTGTAAACACAAAATCTGGGGGGAAAATTGGCTATATTTGAGGCCCTATTTAAAAGCCTTCCCTATTTTCAATGTTCTTAAAACTTGCAGGGAATATTTCTTGACAATTGATCTCGGGATTGTCGAATTTATAAAAAAATTTATCGAGCGGTTTTTGGAAAAATGCGAAATTTGTAGGCATGGACCAAATTACGTCCAAAAACTGTATCAAAGGTAGCTAAATGCAAGTTAATAAAATTATTCTTACTCGCGATCGCCCAGAGCAATTCCCCTCTTTTTTCGTATGCAGTTTTCAATGGAATCAAACCACTATGAGATGAAGCCTCGTTCCCAAAGCTTATCATTTTCTTAAAATATTAGTGAATTGTGTGGCTAGCATGCTATTTCACTGTTTTTATTATTCTTAAAACTACATTTCAAAATATTTCGAAAACGCTCTCATAGAATTTGTTTAAACTATGCCATAATGGAGGCAATTATAGCAGGTACATACTACCTAAAGCGATTTCTTCAAAAAACTCCTGGAACAGAGAAACACAAAGATAAATGAAAAACGTAATGGCGTCATTACGTTGCCATGGCGACTCCGATTGCAAAAAAACCCAGATCATAAGAAATTTTCATCTTTATATAATACAGTTGTGGTAACCTTTTTTCCATATCTTTACTCATGTCGACGTAGTTAATGCTCAAAGTTGGGAGGTATCAACCCCAAAAAATCCAGTCGAGCCACCTTAAAGCTGGTCTAAGCTGGTCTAAGCCGCTTTAGGGCAGCATTGTATGATTATCTGTTCCCAACCCGACGCCTAGCTTTTCTTCGCTCGATATTGGAGTCAGCTGGGTCGAGTTCCTAGCCTTTTTCGTAAGGAAACTTATCGTTAATTCTTCAACAATTGTTGCGTTTTGGGATATAGGCTGTAAAGTTCTGTTTCAAAATTGATTTGTCAGAGAGACGTTTATCTATGGGTTGACCTTTGAAAGAATTTCAAGAAATCAAATAAAAAGGATGTAAGATAGTCTTAAGCTTACTGGGAAACTGAGTCCAACAATGTCGAATAATTTTGTTAGTTCCCTGTTATAACCTTCACTTGCTCTGTTTATCTTTTCGTTAGTTTTCTCTGACTCCTCTTCATCTTGCCTGTTGGTATGGACAGGAATCTGTTGTCAAATTGTTGTTAGAACAGGGTGCGAACGTCAACGCTGAAGACAGAGTAAGTTCAGTCGATGGTTAAACGTTTCTGACCTTGAATAAAGAGGCTTTTTTTAAATTAGCTGTCGTTCTGTAAGCGAAAGTAAGATTAAGGATTTATTAATTGAAATTTCACATCTCTTAAACCCCTTGCAATGTGAAATTGGCGTTTTATAACAGCTTAGGTTTTTGTAACCTCGCGTTGCATCTCTAATTTTAGTTATATTCTTCTCTTTTTATGTATGAAAATGATACAAAAAAAGCACTGAAAGAGTTAAAGCTCTAAAGTGTGAAAAAACAACAACGGAATAATGAAATAAAATACTGTTGAATTTGAAAACAACATGTTTGGCGATTAATTTTGACAAGAGTGAAATACTTTTAATGGTAATCTTGTTTCACAGAAGGAAACCTAACTCGCCTTCTTTTTAAAATATTAAATTGGCTTTGTTGTTTAATATAATGGCGCTCGTCCTTGGTATTGCGTGTTTTTTTTTTATAAATCAATAACACAACCAGGATAACAAATTACTATTTGCTTCACTTTTTCTAGTTTCAACGTACCCCTCTGCAAAAAGCGGAACGCCACAATCACTACACCATTGTGCAGTTACTCGTGAACAGTAATGCAAGGCCAAGTTACCAACAACCGGTAAGATATACACTTTAAGGGTGTGCCTGGCTTTCGGTGAATTAAAGACGAGCCTTCCATTCAACGGAGATTCAACACGTTAAGTAAAATGATTGGGAATTGAAGCCTTCAAGACTTTGAAAATAGCAAAATGGCCAGAGAAATGACGCACCTGTAGAAATCATTCAGTGAATTTATTGTTTCATTATCATGAAAGTTATGCTGTTAGAGTGGCAGGTAATAATTGCCCTTTTTTTCGATTTTTGTCTACTGAGTGAATAGTAATAAATCTACTGGTTGTTGTGTCGGTTTTTAAAACTCTCGTGGCGAGAAAGGAGCACAAACAACAAGAAATCTGGACAAGTGAGTGTGCTCGAGGGTTCCTTCTAGGACATTCAAGGGGCCAAAAAAGCAGGATAGCAGCGCGCTGCTTTACAAATCAGTACTACAAAAAAGTGGATAAATCGGTGCACACTCCGACTAATTTCTCAAAGAAACTAGATTTACAATGTGATACTCTACTTGATTTTTAGGTACAGTATGAAGGGGTATTTTAAGCATTATTTGAAGTGTACGACGTGTTTCGGATGTATCAGTATCTATCGCTAGTTCACATAATTGTGACCTTATATAAAGTTTGATAACTAACTTTATGGATCATAATGTTGAATGTGATTACGATTTAATTTACTTGAAGACTCTTATTTTCATGTTCTCTGTCATTTATCTTGATTTCCATCCACCTTTTGAGTTGTATTAGCGAAGTTAATTACATAAAATTATGATAATTGTAATTAGTTAGTCAGAGTGTTTTTACTCGAACCGTGAAATAGGTAGTAGAATACTACGCAATATTTGTTAGTATCTGTTTCACGCTTCAAGTAAAATCACGGCTCTATAATGATCACCTTTTGCAATGATCATCCTTCGTTGTCTATCTTTATGTATGATTACAATTTTATGAACTTTAGTAACCTGACCATGGATGTTGATGTATCCCAAGCGCGTCGGTTGTGTTCTTTAAATGTTCAATTTTCATTTGACTACTACTGAATTTCGATGAACGATAAATTATATGTGCTATATTTTTATCACCTCAGTTAGATTCAGATTCTAGGTAAGTACACTGACTCGTTTTAACTTCTTGCTTGTAGTTAAGTTTAAAGTCACTTGCGGAGAAGGCATTCTTGCGTGTGGATACTTGGTCGGGATTTAACATGTTCACAGCGGCTGTCGTTGAAGGAAATTACAACGTTATTTTGAAGACGCACGGGCTACTCAGTGATGTAGAAATAATGATGACAGCAGTAGATGATACTCTCGCAAATCTTAAAACCAAAATGCCTGGTCATCGCAAAATTGAAAGCCTTTACCAAGAGACAGTGGATAAAGTCAATTCACTGTCAGAGCTACACCGGTGTAAACCCGGTAATGATGCGGAGAAGGCAGTAGAGCTTGTGTTACGTGATGGCCTGGATATAAACACCCCTGCATTGTGCAATCGCACACCCTTGTTGTGGGCGAGTCTTTCATCTTCTGGTGAGTTTATTGAGACCCTTATCGACCTTGGTGCTAACGTTAACGCTCAAAGAACTGATGACAAAGATACACCTTTGACCTTATCTACTTATTGGGACAACTTCATGACAGTGTTCTTGCTTTTGGATCATGGAGCTGATGCTAATATCGCTGCAGCTGATGGATGTACTCCACTGCACTTGGCAGTGATCAAGGGTAGCCAAAACCTTGTCAAATTATTTCTGGAAAAGAACGCGTTAGTAAATACTCAGAATGCTGATGGCGATTCACCACTGCACACAGCTGTCAGCAACGGATTTTTTGATATTACCAAGCTTCTGATTAAAAAGGGAAGCAACGTCAACCTTCTAAATAAAGAAGGAAGAACCCCTCTTTTTCTTGGTGTAAAGAACAAACATGAACAGCTCATCAAACTCTTGACTGAAAACAAGGCTGATGTAAGTATTGGATACAAGGAAAACTCTACAGAAATGAGGTACATTGAGGTGTATGAGGGTCTCAATGGGGTGGTGGCTTTTACGGTTATCGGCTAAAATTTTGACTCTTTTACGGTTATCGGTTAATTTATTTCAGTTAAGGTTAACGAAAAAGTTAAAAATTAATTTCTTTTGTTTCAAAGAGATAAATATTAATAAACCTGTATTTTTTGTATCTTTAAGCAAAATAAAGGTCTTTGGATCAGCTCGGGATGAAATAAGTTATTCTTTTGAACCATTTTAACATTTGATAGATCACACTTTTAAGTATTCCACTTCTAATACTACTTTACCCATAGGAATGTCAATGGTTACTTTTACAAATCAAGGGAACAGTTTCTTTTACGGTTAACTCTTTTTTTACCCTATTTACGACTAACGGTTAAAATTTTTCGATTTTTATGGCTACGCCTATCGGTTAATCCCATTAAGACCCTCGTATATTGCTTGCATCTTCTAAATTTGGTATGCGCCAGCTGGTTTTGAAGAATTAGTCAGGAGATTAAAGCCCCTCAAAAACGGCGAAATGTTTTGAAAGAATAACAAATTTGTTTAATCATGTTCCTAGGATAAGAAGCAGGTCCTGACCCATATGGAGAGAGCTGAGAAAGCAAAAGTAAGTTGAATGGCATATGTATTGTAGTGTGCGCACGTTGTCCATTTAATCTAGGGAAAACAAATATGAAAACTTTAATCAAAGAAAGATTTAGAAATTCCATATAATTAACGACTTTCTCGTAAATCAGAGCACAGGCTTAATTATGAGTGGCAACATTGTTATTTTACTGTATACAACGGCGAGCCCCCTAACAGTAGGCTGATTTAGCAACAGAACGGGAACGTTATTTGACGACGGCGCGCGCTAATCAAACAACTGGCTTGACCAATGGCCGAGCGAGAAATAGGGCACCGGAAGTCTAGTTTAGTTCTTTTCGCGCGCTTTCCCGTTCTGTTGCTAAATCAGCTTAGGACGAGTAGGACGGTATGGGGGACTTTTCACAGGATTGATGCGTTATTAGTGTCTCCAGTATTTATGCTGGCTGCATAAGGGTGGGTGAAAGTCGGGATTTGAGGATTGGCAAGTCTGTAGTTCGCCCACGAAAATTTAAACAGTAAGCTTTTTTTTTCGAGGTGACACTTGATCAAGAAATTCGTGTCCACCCTCAATCCACGTGCTGCGCGTGCAAGAACTTGTAAACCTCGGCTTTCCAGAAATGTTGAACTTCCCCGCGTGTAATAGCCATTATTATACATTGTACCAACTATCTGTCTTCTCATTGGCTAAGAGCCTAGAGCTAATTTTGGAAATCAGCGTAATCTACAGGTCAGCAGATAACTGACTAATCTGTAGGTAGCGCGCGCAATGCATGATTTCCAATAACAGTATCAATTCAAGTTTCTGGCGAGGGTGTATTTGTCGTTATTTTCTTCAAAACAATGTATTAAAAAAAAACAATTATTATTAGGTTTTTGTGATATCCTAAATAATCAAGGTCTCGGTAAGTGTTACCAGCCTCGACCTTCGGCTCGGCTGATAACACTTACCCCGGCCTTTTGATTATTCCGGATATCACAAACACCTCGTCCGATAATTGATTATTACGAGCGTTTTAGTCATTACAATTTTTTTATTAACTTTCTACAAGACAATAAGATAAACAATAACTAAAGATAATTCACACTACAAAAGTTAAACTAGAATATAGCATACGTGAATACACAAACATACAGGCGGGGGACACCGCAACAGCGCTAGCGAGAAAAACGATACATACGTTTCTCGAATTCAAGTTTGTTTGTTTTTGACACGAGTTAGGCCTAGAAGAGGCGTGTCAGATCTGTCATAACATAAATTAATGTCATCAATAAATGCAAGGTATGTAGACTGATGGATTGTTATTCACCTTCTGAATAAATAAACAGGCATCAAGAGGTTCTTTACACGAGGCTGCTATAAGTGGACAGTACGAGACGGTCAAAATGCTCCTTGAAAGTGGTGAAGACGTGGATCAAAGAGATCAGGTTTTAGTCTTCCCTGGTCTTTGTAAATCTAATGCCTGTGGATTCTTACATTCTTTTCTAAAGGCTAGCTTTGAGTATAATTGTGTTCTTTGCGTTCATGAACGAACACTCAGCATTCTGATTGGCCGGTGATAACAGGACAGGAAAATCACAAAACTCTGTTTTAGTGCATTTTCTTTAAAACAGACTTTTAACGGCTTTACCTTTTATAATCCAGTACTTGCTGATAGTTTTCAGGACACTCGGAATAGGCTTCATTTTCCGTGTCTTTTTAAAAATAGGCACGCAAAAGTTCTCAGGAAGACTTCATGGAAGACTTTGGGCAATTTTCTTCCAAAAGTACCCTATTAGGCAAGAGTAAACCGTTTACCCGACCCTACAAGCAGTATTTAAGGCCATGTTCTTTAACCGAGTGTTTTGCTTGTCTGATAGCGTTTCTTCTTATATTAATCCGGGAGTAGCTAAATACTAAAGTTCTTGATGTTGTAACTGGTTTGAACCCATGAATCCTGTCATTAGTATGTCGAGTAAGTGTAGCTCTGAACAGAACTGCTGACCACACTGACGTTTTCACCATCTATGCAGAAGTCAACATAAGACTTAAGAAAAACTCCTGATAATGCGGCTTCGACACAGGTTGTAGCAAACGTCAACTTCTCTCATCAACAGACCTATTCGGAACTTCACTCACCCAGACCATCATATTCGAACTACTTTAATATACGAGTCTGTAACGATGAATAGTTATGGAGACTTTGAACTTGTGGGGGGGGGGAGGAATAATCCGTCGTGAAATAATTTACATTTAGGCGAGGCAGAAAATCAAAATGATTTATTAATCATGATAATCCGCATTGAAACAGGTTGTAGCAAACGTCAATTCCTGTCACCAACAGACCTATTCGGTACTTCACTAATCCAGACGATCTTTTTCAAACTACTTTAATATACGAGTCTGTAATGATGAATAGCGATGGAAAATTTGAACTTGGGGAGAAATGACAAACCGTGAAATAATTTAGATTCAGGCGAGGCAGAAAATGAAAACGATTTTTTCATTTGTCTGTTTGTTTGTCTGCTTGTTTGCTCGTTTTACCCACCTGAAAATGTTATAACTTTGTTTATCAATAAGCAGTTTTTTTTAATGTACGGGAAAAAGACCTGTAAACTTTGCATTTGGGCTCAGTTTTAGCGTTATACTTGGGTAATCACCTGATTTCGAGTGCAATTTGGAATAAATAAGCACGAGTAGATTTTTTCACAAATTTGTGGTCTTTGAAAAAATTTACGAGTGCTTATTTATTCCAAATTGCACGAGAAAAATCATGTGATTTCTTATTAATGACATTCATGAAAAAATTGCGAGATAGGTTTAAAATCACTTTGACAGGGAGTCAACACGCGTAAACTACGTGCAAAAATAAATTATTCAAATGCTGCAAATATCATCACACATAGTCAAAACAACATTTTGCTCGATGTTTTTAAAGTTTGCAAGCTGCAGAAACGGGCTGAACAGTTCATAGAATTGTTCAATCTGTTTGAATTAAAGATTCTGGGTTATTACCTCGAGTTTTCCGCTCTTCCAGAGAATTTCTTCTTCCTCCTCTGATACTTGCCGAGCTTTGTTTGGGCGCTTACCACGGCCAGCCAAGCGAAGATGTTTCGCTTTGTCCTCCAACACCTCTTTGGACGAACTAAATTCCCAGTCACGTACAATAGACCGGGTGCAGCCTTTGTTCTTTAAGTGTCTATCAAGCGATGCCATCATTACTTTAAGGCTTTCTGGCTCATAATCTTCACCTTTTTTATTGTTTACTTTGGCGAAGAAATGCTCGAGCAAAGTGTTAAGCTCAGCCGGCTCATAATTTTCTATTTCATCAGTAGTTTCATTATCTACGCACCAATTCTTCCAAACAGGAGCCAAAAACCAGTGCTTTTCGCAGTGTTTTGGTTTTTAGAGCAGTTTTTTTATTAGCTCCTCTACAGTTGTTCCGGTCGCAAAAGCAAATGTGCTGCAAACGCCAACCATTGCAGTTTTTGCTCGAAATTGGTCAGAAGCGGATCCAAATTTTGCGCCATTTAGATGGCGCATTTGATTGGCTCTCAGTGATTTCCTTTGTTTATTAACCAATCAGAATGTCACGTTTGTTACTCTTTTCTGCACTAAATTATCTTTTTTCTGCACTCAATTACCTTTTTTTCTGCATCTTGTTACCTAAAAACTGCATTTCTCTAAGCCAATCACAATCGAGAAATTTTTTCATGTATATAGTTCAATAAAAGCCTCTAGTTGTATTTTATGCATGACCATCATTATTGCTGGACAAGCTGACTTCTTTCACCCTTTTGTAATTGTTTTTCCCCTCCCTATTTCTGTAGTTTTCTCTGACTCCTCTTCATCTTGCTTGTTGGTATGGACAGGAATCTGTTGTCCGGTTGTTACTAGAGCATGGTGCGAACGTCAACGCTGAAGACATGGTGAGTTAGTGAGTTTTTTTTCCATTGAAAAATGATAGGGAGCATTATATGAAGGAAGATCATCGCAGTTATATACGCAATTTTTGCAGTTGCAAAAAGAAAGCCTGAAAAAAAGTCAGGCTTTTACGGGATTCGAACCCTTGACCTCTGTGATACCGGTGCAGGGCTCTACCAATTAAACTAACAAGCCAACTTGGAGCAGGTCGTTGAATTGGTTCGTTATAAACTCGTGAAAGGATGATGATGAAGTTACGAAAATATGAAAATCATATATTCATAACTTCACTGATAGCGAGCGTAAGCAACAACGACGGCGACGTCAACGAGAGCGGCGAAAAAGCAAAAGGTTTATTAAGCAAATCATAGCCTCTGGGAGGAGATGTTTTAAGCAATTAATTTAGCTCACGCTACAAAACGTACTCTGCTTAAATGTTTTTAGTTTCAACGTACACCTCTTCAAAAAGCTGAAAGTCAAAACCACCATTCCATAGTGAAGTTGCTGC